TTTTTTCCCCCCTCCTCCCCCCCCCCCCCCCCCCGCCTGCAGCAACTGCCTGCGCTGCACATCTTCCAGGGCCACCTGGGCGTGGTGGAGGATGTGGCGTGGCACCCGCGCCACGCCGACCTCTTTGGCTCCGTGGGCGACGACAAGAAGCTGGTGATCTGGGACCTGCGCAAGCCGCACGCCGCTGCCCAGGACAAGGAGGTGGAGGCGCACACGGGTGGGTGGGTGCGGGTGCGTGGCAGGGGCAGCGCCCTTGCTCCCCTGCCCACCTGCTCCTCCGCCGCCCATGAAGGCCTGCTCCTCTGACCCGGCGCCCCATCACACCTCTGACCTGGCGCCCCACATCACGCCCCATCCGCATCCCTGTGCTGCTCACCGTCCTCTGCCCCTGGCCCCTCACCACCCTCCTGCCTTCCCCCCTCCTCCCCACCCACCCACCCACCACAACCGCAGCCGAGGTCAACTGCCTGGCCTTCAACCCCTTCAACGAGTACGTGGTGGCCACCGGCTCCGCGGACAAGACCGTGGCGCTGTGGGACCTGCGCAACATGACCTCCAAGCTGCACCTCTTCGAGCGGCACGACGAGGAGGTGTTCCAGGTGCGGGCGTGGCGGCGGCGGCGGCGCTGGCAGGAGGGGCAGGGGTGCGGAGGATGGGGCCGAGGGTGGGCCGGGGAGGAGGGAGAGCGAGGCTGGGGGCCTGGCAGGCGCCAGCCCAGGTGGCGGCTGCCAGCGGCGCCGCCGGCTTGCCACCTCACCGCCGCCGCTGCGCCTGCACCCACCTCACCCGCCCGCCCTGGCGCTGCGGCTGCGTGTGCAGGTGGGGTGGAGCCCGCACAACGAGACCATCCTGGCGTCGTCGGGCGCCGACCGGCGGCTGATGGTGTGGGACCTGTCGCGCATCGGAGACGAGCAGGTGTGTGTGTGCGTGTGGGCAGTGTGTGTGTGTGTTTTGTGGGGGTGCGGGGCCGGGGGCCGGCATCAGACGCTTGGGTGCTCATGCCCGCACTCGTGCCCTCCTGACGGTGCGTGAAGCAGCACGCTTTGCTGCGCTCGCCCAGCCACCCTCGCGCTGCCTCTCAACCCCACACCCCCTCTTGCCTCGCCTCTCGCCAGACCCCCGAGGACGCGGAGGACGGCCCCCCCGAGCTGCTCTTCATCCACGGCGGCCACACCGCCAAGATCTCCGACTTTGCTTGGAACGGCAGCGACGAGTGGGTGGTGGCCTCGGTGGCAGAGGACAACATCCTGCAGGTGGGCGGCTGGGTGGTGGCTGGGTGGAGGGGCGCACACACTCCAGCTTGCTCTGCCACCCGAGTGCGCCCGACTGCGCTTGTGCGCTGCCTGCCTGATGCACCTCTGGTCTGTCTCCCGTCTTGTGCGACGCAGATCTGGCAGTGCGCAGAGCACGTGTGGGCCGATTGAAGCTAGGGCACGTGCTGCTGGCAAGGTTGCAGCGCCGCCTGCTGCGGGCTTGCTGCTGGTTGTGACCGCTTGCATGTGGGAAGAGCCTTCTTCCTCGACCCTGCATTTCTTTAACGCATCCACTCCACCGCCTCTGGACTTGCACAGAAAACAGAGCAGACCAGCCCCACTGGCCAACCGAAACCAGCAGCAGACCAGCCCTGCTTCGTGCTCCCTCTTCCTGCTGACTGCTGTTTGCACGACGGGGCGGGTTCACGTGTTTCACGAATGGTGGTGCTTACAGGCAGGTAGCGATAGCGTTGATCTTCTCAGGTGGGGTGAAGTCAGGGAAGCAATGAGCAAGGGAGAGAGCAAAATACAAGACCACACACGCACAGAGACCAAAACCCGCACACCAGCCGGAAGCTGGCCGGGCCAGACCGCTGCCGTGCCAGCGCTCAGCAAGGGCTCCCCGCCACACAAGAGGGGCAGGCGGGGGAGGGGCCCCGCCAGGGGACGCTGGCTGCTGCTTACGCCAGGGGCAGGGACACGCCGTTGGTGGCGAAGTTGGCAACCATGGGGTTAGCCAGGTGGGCGCCCAGGGCCTCCAGGGGGCTGGCGCCGGTGGCGGCATGCTGGGCCACAAAGCCCAGGCAGGCGATCATGGCAAGGCGGCCGTTCTTGATCTCCTTGGTCCGCAGCTCATCCTGGTTGCCCTTGGACTGCAGCAAGCGTGTTGGGGACAGTTCCGGGGGCAGTTAGTATAGTAGAAAGTCGCAGTAAAGTAAGTAAAGTGGATTATGGACGGAATGAAGTGTTTTGAGGCCTGCTGCTGTGCAATGGGGGCCGCCTGGCCAGGCGGTGCATCGTTCGAACTGCCGCGCAGCAGCATTGGCAACCCCTCGGCCGGCACGGCGTCGCCTCCCTGCAGCCTGCTTCCGCGCAGGCCCTCAAAAGAGGCTCACCATGCCAGCGGGGTCGAAAGGGCCGCCGGGGTACACGCGCTTCTCGGGCTCAGCCGCGCCGCGGAACGACTCGGCGCCAGCCATGGCAGCAAACTCGATGGCCGCCAGGGTGCCCAGGTCAAAGGGGATGGAGGCGCCAAAGTAGGTGGCGCTGCCGCCCTGGACCAGGGGCAGGGGCGCGTCGTACCAGTTGCCGTAGCCTGCAGCACACGCGGGGGGAGAGGCAGGGTGGGAGGTCTGCGGCCGCGCCCGATTCGAGCGCTCGAGGGGGACGCCGCGCTGCCCGCCGCTGCGGCACAGCGCGCGACCGCTGCCGCTGCTTGCGGGCTGCACTGGAGCACAGGAGCGCGGACGGCAAGCCTTGCTGCTTGCGGCATCCAGGCTGGCACGCACCCAGCACCTCCACGCCCAGCACGCCGGCGGCGCCCAGCATCGCCCAGCGGCCGTGGATGACCTCAGACTCCTTGAAGCGCTGCAGGCTGGGGGCCTCCTTGGCTGCAGGCACACGGGACACCACAGCATGCACCAATCAGCATGGGGCCTGCCTGCAGGCGCCGGCAAGCCACAGGCGGCGCTCGCCATAGCCCGGCCCATCCGCCGCCGCCCGATATCGCGCGCAAGCCAGGCTGCACTGACCGAGGCCCAGGGGGTCGAAGCCGTAGCTGGCGGGCAGGTTCTCGAGGTAGGCGGGGGTGTCGCTGCCGGGCAGCCTGCAGAAAGGTGGGTGCGAGGGGGAGAGGGTCATGGCCTGGGCTGGCCCATCCGGCAGACCGCTCTGCCCCCGCGTGCCGCCTCTGTCGCTCCATGGCTCCTCCATCTGCCACCCGATTGGCCTGCGCACCAGTTGCCCGCCTTCATCACAGTGCGAGCGCGGGGGCGCTGCACATTGAAGGTGGCGCGCACGGTGGCGCTGGGGGCGACGATGGCGGCCATAGCTGCGGGCTGATGGGTGACTCAAGCGACCTGGGGGATGCAAGAGTGGCGAGGGCGGCCGGGGGCGCCGCTAGGTGTCAGGGTGAGGCGACCGGATCTTATCGTTTTCGCTTTCCAGGCCGGCCCAAACCTCCGCTGCGCGCTCTTGGGGGCCCGCCACCGCCAAATCCGCGCCTTGTCCACCACCCAGACATCGCCAGACCTGCCCCAGCTCAAGATGGCGGCCGCTGTCGCATCCCCGATGACCTGCACCGGCAGCAAGGCCTCTTCGGCCTTCAGCGGCAAGCAGCTGCGCGTCAGCTCGGCGGTGCGCCCCAAGGTAGGCGAATGGAGGGGCGCAGCGGCCGGGGGAGCCGCCCAGGCCGCACCCAGCAATGCAGGGCATCCACGCACCTCCTCTGCCTGCCCCTGCTCGCTGTGCAGGCCGTGCGCCGCGCCGTGGTGGCCGCCGCTGCCGACCGCGACCTCTGGTGAGGGGTTTTGCCGCCTGCTGCTCGACCTGCGGGAGCCGACCGCGGCGGCGGCGCGGCAGCACACTTCACCCTTGCACGGGCGATGCATTCCTTCAATGTAGATTGCCAGGCAGTGCCTGACCGTTCTCCCGATGTTGCTGGGTTGCAGGTTCCCCGGCAACACTGCCGTGGTGCCCGACTACCTGGACGGCAGCCTGGTTGGCGGTGCGTCTGCCGCCGTGGGCGTGTGCACGCTGGCTGGCGGCGCCAGTCCAGCCGGCGGCTGTAGCTGCGGCAGGACGGCTGTCGGCGGCTGGGCAGGCAGCAGGGGGCGTGGGCGATGAATGCCACGCTGCAGCAGGGCTGGGTCGGCCCAGCGCGCCCAGCTGCATCCAGACCGCTGACTGCTGTGCCGCGCCGCCTGCCTGGGTGCTGCAGACAACGGCTTCGACCCCCTGGGCCTGGGCAGCTCCCCCGAGCAGCTGTCCTGGAACGTGCACGCCGAGGTCTTCCACGGCCGCCTGGCCATGACTGGCTGCGCCGGCATCCTGCTGACCTCGGTGAGGGCGGGAGTGGGGGGCGCCTGGCCGGCTGGCTGGCAGCACACGCAGCTGCCTCCGGCCCGCGCCTGCAGCCGGGCCTGCCCCACCGGGCGCGCGCCCTGAGCCCACCTTCCCGCCCCCGCCGTCGCCCCGCAGCTGCTGCACGCGGGCGGCGCCGACGTGCCCGAGTGGTATGAGGCGGGCAAGGTGTACATGGAGAAGAACCCCAACGTCTCCTTTGGCGCCCTGGTCTACTCCACCATCGTGCTCAGCGGCTTTGCCGAGTTCAAGCGGCTGAACGACATCCGCAACCCCGGCAGCCAGGGCTCCGGCATCCTGCCCGAGGACTTCAAGGGCGTGGGCGGGCCCCAGGGCCGCACCGTGGGCGGCCCCTATGTGGGCGGCCGCTTCTTCGACCCCATGGGCCTCTGGTGCGCCCGCCCCGCCGCCCGGCCGCTGGCAGCGCCTGCCTGGCAGCCTGAGCCTGCTGTACCTCCGCTGCGGGACAGCCACCGACCATGCAGCACTCGCCAGCCCTGCGGCTGTGCTAAGCACGGCATGGCTGCGCCCAGCCACCGCCCTCGCTGACCCCCCCACCCCTGTGCCCCCCTGCGCCCCGCCCCGCAGCCGCGGCTCCCCCGAGCAGACGCTCAAGTACAAGTGGAACGAGATCCGCAACGGCCGCCTTGCCATGATCGGCTTCCTTGGCTTCGCCGCCCAGTACTGCGCCACCGGCAAGGGCCCCATTGACAACCTCATTGGTGCGTGGGGTCGGGGGGTGCGCCGGGGGGTAGCAGAGCGGCTGGGTGGATGCTGCTGGGGGAGCAGATCTCCCTGCTGCGGCGGCTTGTGGGGCCACGCATGCGGCGGGCGTCCCAGAATCTGGCCCAGCTGACCATGTCTCTCTGTGCCTGCCCTGCCTCGCCTGCTGCAGACCACGTTTCGGACCCTACCCACGTCAACTTCATCAGGTGTGCCTCCCCGCTCTTCCCTGCCCCTGCTCCCGCCTGGTGCCGTGCTTGCTGTGGTGCTCTCTGGCGCATGTTTGGCTCACCCCGCGCCCCCCGCCTCCCCTCTCCCTGTGCAGCAACGGCGTGAGCGTGCCCTTCATCTCCCTCTAGGTCAGCAACCTCCTCCCCTCCCTTTCCCCTCCCTTCCTCCCTGCCCCGGTGGCGTTGAGGTTGTGGTGCCGCTTGGTGGCGGAGGGGGCATGGCGCTCTGCTGGAAGCGCCATGCGGCTCGGCCCCCACATTTGACTGGTCTTTTGCTGGTCATCGAGAAGAACTCTCCTCCTGTGTGTATTGCTGGTGTATACCACTCTCCGTTTTGCTTCTGCTCTTATCACTGTGCGCGCCACAATTGAAACCGACATCACCTCTTGGGCAAGGTCATGGCTGGCTGACAGAGCCAAGTAGGGAGGTGGCCATAACAGTGGAAAGAATCATAGTTGCGGCAGAAAACTGGCCCCCAAAAAGCAAAGCGCATTCCAGTTCACATCCGTGGCGTCTCATGACGAGTCTTTGGCCCCCATCTCATTTGCATGCTGCTGGAAAACCACTGCTGCGTCGTTGGTCAGGCCGACATCAAACAGCTGCCGTGCCACTGCGGGCGAGATGGTGAAGGTGTTGCAGCCCTGCATGGAGCATGCGCAGGCGATGTTAGGGACGCACCCACAGGGCAGGAGACGCAGCAGTGCGTTGCGCTGGAGCGGCCGACCTCACCCCTACCGCCAGCTCGGCAATCTCGTCCGCAGACCGGATGCTGGCCACCAGCAGCCGCATGCCGCCCTCCTCGGTGCACTGGTCCACCACCTCCTGCATCCTGATCACCTCCTCAATCCCCTGCAGCAGGCCAGCCGGAAGGCCAGCACAGCCCTATGCTGTGGAAGGCAGCCAGCATGCGGGTCGCAAACCGGGTCCCCAATAGGCAAGCAGGCATGGCAAGTCTCTGGCTGGCGGCAGGCAATCAATCAGCAGCACAGCCTGCCAGCAATCCCTGTGCACAGGGGGCCTCACATTCTTCCCGGCATCCGTCATTCGGCCCACATAGGGTGCTGCATATGCTGCCCCCAGTGCTAGCGAGGTCACCACCTGGTGCGCCGCATACACACCTGCAAGGCAGGGGCCAACCGGAATCCAGGTCAGGCCTCCAGCCCTGGGTCCACACGCGGGGCTGCGGGCATCGCTGCGACGCAATACTGGCGCCTGAGCATGGCCTCCACCTCAACGTCTGCCCCACCCACCCACCCACCCACCCACGCACCCGTCATCGTGACGGGCGCGCCGTCTGCGACCAGCTTGGCCGCCGCCTTGGCTCCCTCCAGCGTAACGGGCAGCTTCACCAGGATGCGGGAGTCGATGTCCATGAGGTCCAGCCCGCACGAGTACATCTCCGCCGCCGTGGCGCCCCACGCCTGCAGCTGCAGCTCCTCCACCTTGAGCGCAAACGCCTCGCGCGCCAGGTGGCGCATGCTGGCGATGTTGCAGCTCACGTCGTCGCGCTTGAGGATGGTGGGGTTGGTGGTGAAGCCTGCGGCAGCGGTGGCGGCTTGGTGGGCACACGCGCAGCGGCCAGCGGCCAGGCACTGCGCACACTCGCGGCAGCACACTCGGGAGCCACAGCCCTGTTACCTACCGTAGAACAGGCCCGTCTCGGCCCACATCTCCCACTCCTGCAGCCAAACGCACCGCATGCTGGGCATCCCAGCATCGATGCCTTGGTCCTGGACGTTCCAAGTGCCACAAGCGACACGCAAGAAGGCTGCTCCGCTGCCGCACCCCCGCCCCGCACCTTGACGTTGGCGCTGTCCAGGTAGAGCCGCATCTCCGAGTCACCATCGCCGGGCCGACCCTCCTCGTAGCCCACATCGTCGGCGTCATAAAATTCCTCCATGCTGCCCTCCTCTTGGAAGAAATCCTCCTCGTCGCTGCCGCTGGACTCGGCCGGCCCGCCGCCGCGCCCAGCGCGCCGCTGCCACCGCACCTGTTGTGCTGAGTGCCGCAGGGGCGCTGCAGGCCTGTGCATCCTCATCATCCGTGACTTGGTAGCGGCTAGGGGACCGCCCGGAGCTGCATGCTGCAAAGCGGCCGACATGCTGATGCGTGGAGCGCTCGCTACCGTGCCTCCACCAAGTGAGATCGGCTGACCAGGTGAGCTTCGCAACGAATGTGGCAACGAAATGCGCGAAAGATGCGCGAGGAGCTGTGTTCACATCGGAGGAGCTGTCCACGTGGGATTTTAGGAAAGCTCCTGTTCGATTTGCCGGCCTGCTCCGGCCCTGTCTCGCCCTCAGCTACACAGCCGCGGCCGCCCCATCCCCTCTGGCCGCGCCCAAAATGGCGCAGTTGGAGAGCGACGAGCTGGAGCAGCTGATGCCCAACATAGAGCACCGTGTGCGGCAGCAAAGCTCGCCGGCCAACACGGGGGCGCTGCGGGAGTACATCAGGGTGAGGCGGGGCGCCGGGGCGGGGCGTGCCGACGGCAGCAACCACCCTGGCCCAGGCCGTCAGCTGAGCGCAGCTCGGCCCCCGCGCTGCGTGCAGGTGCTGGGGGAGAAGCCGGTCAACGTGCCCGCGGGGTCCACCGTGCCGCAGAAGCCCCGCACCGACGGGCTGCAGACGCGGGCCGGCTCCGGCCGCCGCCCGCAGCGCCGCTACTTCACCATCAAGTGGAGGTGGGTGGGCCCTTACTGGCTTGTTCGTGGACCTTGAGTCTTACAGCATGCTGCACCTAGCGAGCAGCCACAGCGAACCCATCCCTGCCAACATGCTTCCTCTTCTGGTCGACGCTGTGCGCTTACATTTTGGCGGCTGCCCGCTGTCTGGTGGCCCGCAGAGTTGAGCCGGAGCCCGAGCCCCAGGAGCAGGTGGAGGTGGACCCCGAGGCTCTCAAAGATGCGCTGCTGGAGCAGGCCAAGGCGCAGCGCCGCGCACTGATGGAGGCAGCGCTGCGGCCAGGCACGGGGCGGTTTCCGCGGAGCCGCGAGTTTGCCATCACGCTGCTGCCGCTGCAGCTGGAGGAGCAGGAGGAGGAGCTGCTCGAGGAGGCTGGTGCTGACCAGCTGCTGCAGCAGGATATGGAGTGGCAGGCAGCAGGCGAGGCTGGCGATGAGCAGCTGCTTGAGTATGGCGAGCATGAGGAGCAGGCATGGGAGGTGGAGGAGGGGGTGCTGGCTGAGCAGCAGGCGCGGGCGGCAGTGCAGCCTGCCGCCGCCGACGCCCCGGCATCCACAGCCGCCACGCCGGGTGCTGCGCTGCTGCGTCAGCAGGACGGCCAGCCCCAGTCAGGCGGCCTGCAGCAGGAGCGGCCAGACAGCCAGCGTGGGCAGGCCAAGACGCCGGCCACCTCGCTGTTTGGGCGCTACACGCCTATGGAGGGCGTGCCAGAGCGCCTGGCGCTGCTGGCCACCCGCGGCAAGCAGCCTCCTGCCACTGTGTCGCGCTCGGCACGCCCCGCCCGCACCCCAGCGGGCTTCACGCCCACAGAGGGCATCCCGGAGCGCCTGCTGGCGTTCCAGCCGCCGCTGGGCGGGCCACGCCCGCTGGGCCTGCCCGGCGCCACCCTCGTGTGCAGCAACCAGGCGCAGCGGTCTGTGGACTCTCCGGTGGAGGGACTGGTGCAGCAGGGGGTGCGGCGCAGCAAAGATGGCGCTGCCGTGCCACAGCCCACCGATGCCGACGCGGGCTTTGCCGGCTTTGCACAGCCGTCGCCACGGCAGCAGGAGGCGGAGCAGCAGCTGGCAGAGGAGGAGCAGCAGCAGCATGAGGAGCAGGGCGTTGCTGATGACGACGACAATGGCGACTTTGGGTTTGCAGATGATGGCGGGTACTACGACGAGGATGGCGGTGAGTGGCATGGGCCAGCGAGAATGGCTGCTTGCCTCTTGCCAGCGCCTGGCGTGGCACCAAAGTGTTCACCGTGCCGCGCATGCTCTTCTTGTGCTGGCACCTGGCCCTCAGCTGCCCGCCGGTGCCTCTGCCTGTGCAGCTCCGTCGCCCTCGGCACCGCAGGCTGCTGGCACTGGCAGCTTCCCCTTTTTGGCTGGCCGCTCGCCAGCGCACATGGAGGATGCGTGTGTGCAGACGGGTGCCAGCCTGGGCGCTGAGGAGCGGGCGGCTGCGGAGGCAGCCGCGCCCGCGGCAGAGGCGGACAATGAGGGCGCTTATGGCGGCTATGACGCAGGTACGCATCGTGGTGCTAGCAGTACCAAGGCTGCGTATGGATAGAGGCGCATGTGCGCCGGCAGCACTGGTTTGCTGCTGCTGGCCCATGCATGTGTGCGCCTCATGCTATCCCTCCATGTGTGCGTACTCCCAGCAGGCGGCGACTACGACGCCCTGGATGTACATGGTCAGGAGCCAAGCTTTGATGCAGGTGTGCTGTGGCTTTTTAGCCTGCATGTTCTGCCATAGGGACTGACGCTGTGAGGCCTTGTCATGAGGCACTGTGTTTGTGCTGACCTGCTCCACCGCCGCATCCTGCCCATGCAGACCTGCCCGAGCCCTCTGCGGCAGCGCGGCAGCGCGTGCGGCGCAAGGCCACCAAAGACCCGGGTGTGCGCCTTCGCAATGAGCTCAAGCGCAAGAGCCTGGCAGTTGGTGCGTGCTACTTACCGCGCAGGGTGGTGTGCGGGGAGTGCTGCTGGTTGCTCCCAGAAGCAGCATCCATTACAGGGAGCAGGACAAACGTGCTTGTGTATTTGAGACGGGACTTGTTGCCTGCTTGAGCCTTCGCGGCACCTGAGCCCAGACCCTGGCCTGCTGACACCCGTCTCCTGCCTCGCCTCCGCAGATCCCACCATTGGGCGGCGTGAGGTGCTGCCTGGCGTGCGGCGCAGCTGTCGCTCTCGGCAGGGGCCGCTCAAGTGGTGGCTCAACGAGAGGCAGGAGTTTGGGCGGCAGCACCAGTGCGTGCCAGCGGCGCATGCAGCCAGCAGTGCTTGGCTGCGTGGGGCTGGCTGGCTGCATTTGTTGGCTGCTTACCTGCTACGCATGAATGAGCTTAGCCAGCTTTTGCCTTTGGGCTTAAAATGCCCGATTGACGCAGCCAGATTTCTTGCCCAACACGCGTGCTGCTTCCTGGTGCTGCCATGGTGCAGGACAATGCCAACAGTGAGGAATGTGGTGCACAAGGTGCCCAACACGCCCTGGCAGACCGTGACAGACATCAGGCGGCGGCCAGCCAAGCGGCAGCGGGCCCCCACGCCGCACGATCTGGATGAGATGCTGGGCGGTGCAGCAGATGAGGAGCAGGGGTGGGAGGCAGAGGAGGAGGAGGTGGTGCAGGAGGAGCAGCCTGACGTGGAGGAGGAGCAGGAGGAGCAGGTGGCAGATGACGCGGCGGAGCCCGCAGCAACTGAGGAGCAGCATGAGGTGGAGCAGCAGCAGGGTCGGCGGCAGTCCAGCCGCCGCCAGCAGGCGGCAGCGCAGCCAATGAGCAGGCGGCAGGGCAAGGCACCAGCAGCCAGGGTGCCGGCAGCCAAGGGCAAGGCCATGAAAAAGAAGGCAGCAGGCAGCAAGCGTAGGGGCCGGCGGTGAGGCGCCAGCGCTGCGCCTCTCGCTCTCGTTGACAGAACTGACTGGACCTGCATTGACCACTGGGCCCCGGGGTGGGGCTAGACAGACGCCAGCATACGCTGATCGGACGTTACTCTGCCACCACTCTACTTTTCTCTCGTTGTACACTGGCTTTCTGGGTTGGCTTTACTGATTGGTGCCCGCAGCCGCGCGCAGGCTGCCCCCTGCGCAGCCGCAGCTGGTTGTTGTAACACTGATTTGAGGTTGAGTTGTTGACATGGGGGAGCAGTGGAGGAGAGACAATAAGGCAGTCGGAGCAGGGGTTTGCAACAGGGTTGCAGTTGGCAGGGCAAGCAGAGAGAGACGAGCAGGCAAAGAGAGACGAGCAGGGGCTGGAGAAGGGGCATGGCTGGGGGGCGGTCGCCCCGCCTGCCATCACCGCCGCGCGCCCGCGGCGGGGCGGGTGCGCCCCTTCACCTCCGACTCCTGCGGCGCGTGCAGGAAGATCTGGTTCTTGGCGGTGGTGGGGTTGTACTCGCTGTAGCCGCGGGACCAGTCGTAGCTGACCGCGTACGCGTAGATGCTGCCGTCCCTGCGGGGAGGGCGCAAGGCGGGCACAGGCGGGAGGGGTGGGGGGTCAGGGGCTGCGCCCCAGACACACTGGGCGAGGTGCAGCAGGCGCGTGCATGGCCGGCCCTGCAGCCGCAGCGCCCGCGGCGCCGGCGCGCGCCTGTTGAAGTCGCCGCAGGGGATGGGCATGCCGCACTTAGCCATGGCCTTGAGGCGCTGCTTGGAGTCCTTGTCCCAGAAGTTGTAGGCGCCGTCGGAGCCGGCGGTGACAAAGGTGCCAAACTGGGGGTGGAAGGCCATGTGGTTGACCGCATACACGTCCTGCCCCTCCCTGCAGGGCAGGGGAGGGCAGGGGAGGGGGCAGGGGTGGCCAGGGCGACGGGGCGCTGGGCAGGACCCCGGCACACAAAGGCGCAGGCGGCGGGGACGGCAAGCAGCCCGCCACGCCCCTCGTGCCAGCCCCCTTTGCCCTGGGATCCCTGCAGCCTCTGCTGGGGCGGTCGGCTGCCCGCCGCTGCCCACCGCTGCCCACCCCACCACCCGCGCACCCCCCTGCCGCCTCACCTGTGGCACTTGAAGGTGAAGTTCTTGGACTGCAGGGCATCCTCCACGTGGTGCACCGCCACCCGCCCCTCGATGCTGCCCAGCAGGTATCCCGTCTTGTCGGGGAAGCAGGCGATGCAGCGGGTCTGATACTTGAGCGGCGAGGCCAGGGACTTGTACACCTGCCCCGGGGTGCCCAGGTTGAACACCTGCAGCTGCCTGTCCGCGGTGCCCACCACCATGAGCTCATCCCGCACATCCATGGCGTACACCCGCTCCGGCATGGGCTGCGTGTGCGCCGGGGTGGGGCTGCGCAGGTCCCAGTACTTGACCGTCTTGTCCCAGCTCCCCGTCACCAGCATGTTCATCTGGCGCATGAAGAAGCAGTGGCGCACGGGCGCGGCGTGCTGCGCCACCTGCTGCTGCTGGTTGGTGCCCAGGTTCCACATCTTGACGCCGTTATCGCACCCGCCTGCGGTACGGCAGGGGACGGTACAGCAGGGTGCGGTACAGCAGGGCGTTGAGGCGCAGGTGGCGGCGGGCCGGCTGGCACTCGCCACGGTCCGGCAAAGCGGCCGCCCTGGTCCCCTCACAGCCCACGGCGGGGCAGCCCCACCTGCAAACACCGTGCTGCCGTCCGCGCTCCACGCGCTGCACAGGACCGGCTTGTCCAGCGTGGTGGCCGCCTTCGGGATGGCCTGCCCGGTGGTGGCCTGCACGTCCCAGCACAGCACCTGCCCGCTCCACGACGTGGCTACCATCAGGTTGCTGGCGGGGCTGAACCTGAGGCTGCTGATGCCGTCAGAGGGGGCGTTGGGCACCTCCAGGTCCTTGTTGGGGTTGGTGTTGGCGGCCGCGGCCGCGGAGCCGAACGGAATGGACGTGCCAAAGGCGGCCATCCTGCCGCGCCCTGCAGGAGGGCGGGACGGGTGGCGGCCAGCAGGGTGGGCAGGCGGGGTGGTGCTGAGGGCAGGGGTGCCGCTGGCATCGGGCATGCATGCATGTGACCAACAACCGAGGGCCCGGGCCCAAGCTCAGGGCGGGGTGGAGGTGGGTGCGATGGGCACGCCACCGCTGCCTACCTCCTGGCTAGGTACCGGGGGCCTTGGGAGATATATGGCACCCCGACGGGTCTGCTGCAGGCTGCACAAAGCAAGAGGCGCGATCAAGCTGCACTCGCGCCCCGAGTCCAGGCGGCCTTTGCCTGTTGTGAGCGCTCCAGATTAGCTGCAATGCGGAAATGCGGAGCTGGAATGCATGCGCTCAATAGCTGGGCCCAGGACAACTCAATTCTGCGCAGCGTCGCCAGCGTGGGCGGAGCGGAATGGCCATGCAGGGAGCCCCGACTACAGAATACAGAGAGAAATGGCGCTGCATACACAGTGCTGTGAGCAGGTCCATAGTCGGAGGGGAGCAAGAATGACTGCCGCTGCCAGCCCTGCCTGTGCCGCCACCTTGCCTGCGGCAAGCGGTTTACAGCCAGCCAACAGAACAGCGCAACCCAACAACAACAACAACAGTCCTCAGTCGTGATGCATCTTGGCAAACTCTGGGTGCAGGCTGGGGTTGAAGCTGAAGGAGTTGGCACCGCTGTCGCTCTCCCCGCTGCCCTCCCCATCAGACGCCACCGATGCCGCCGCCGATGCCGCCGCCGAGCCACCCGGCGAGTCCCGCACGACACGGCCGCGACCGCCCCCAAGGCTCAGGCTCAGCGACTGCCGCGAGGATGGCCGCTGCGCTTCCGCTGCCTGCTGCTGCGGCGGCGAGGCTCCGGGGCTGCGCCCGCCCTCCTCCCCAGAGGTGCGCCGCGCAGGCGAGTAGGCCGCGCCGCCCTCGGCCGGCAGCTGCACCCTGCGGGGCCGCACACTGACGTGCAGCCCGGCTGCCAGGTCGGGAGACATGCCAGCGCCGCCCTGCTCCTCTCCCGAACCGCCTTGCCCCAGGCGCCCCGGCATCTGCCCCTGCCCCTGCCCCTGCCCCTGCCCCTGCTGCCGGTTGATGGTGCCGGGGGTGAGGCTCCAAAGGCGGTGCAGCGGCCCGCCGCCGTCTGGCGTGGCCTGGCCGCTGCCGCTGCCCATGAACTCTGAGTGGAGGTTGTAAAACACGGACAGCAGGGACAGCAGGATGGGTCCCTGCAGCAGCGCGGGGGAGGGAAGGGGCGCGGTGGAAGCAAACAAACTCGCAGACGGCGCATCAGACAGCGGCAGTGATCCCCTGCCTCCCGGGCTCGCCAGCGGCGTGATGCACGTCGCGTGCGGGCGGCCAGCCAGCGCCTCACCAGCAGGCAGCCCTGCAGCGGGTTTTCAAACGCGTAGATGCCGCCCAGGATGCCCAGTGACAGCATGTAGGGGTGGCCGCCGGGGATGTCCTGCGGGCAGGGCGGCGCGGGCGAGGGCCAACTGGAGCGCTCAGGTCAGGGCTGCGTCACAGCACATCAACCAAGCCGACAACCAACTGCGACTGCCATTGCCCAGCGGGGCTCTCCGCCGCACACCAGCAACACACCAGCACCACCACCACAACGTGATCGTCCCGGACACGCACCCCGCCACAAGGCCCCATAACCACCCCGCCCAGCCCTCACCTCCAGGATGACTGTGTCCCCGATGTAGTAGCCCATGAAGTGCAGCGCAAAAAACAGCACCGCCGCCAGCAGGCGCCCCTGCGCCAGCAGCACCGCGCACCCAGGCAGCGCCACCGCGTAGGTGGGCACAAAGGGCAGCAGCGCGCAGGCGGCGGAGGCCACCGAGGCCTGCAGGGGGGCAGGCAAGGGACCAGGAAGGGGAGCGGGCAGTCGGAAGGAAGCGGCATTGCCGATGGGCACCTGCACTTGGGCGCGCTCTGCAGGAAGCCAGTGCAACGTCGCACGGGGGCTGCGGCAGCATCGCGTCAGGCATGCGCCGTACCGTGTATGTGAGCGGCAGGTTCATGACCCGGAAGGTGATCCAGGAGAAGCAGCCGTGGAAGGCGATGAGCTTCATGCTGCTCACCAGCACGCCTGCATGGGCAGGGGGGGCCAGGCACGGGGGCAGGGCAGCGGGTGGGCAGGAAGACAAGGGCAGGCACAGGTACAAGCCAAGCACCGGGCATGCTCGCACGCACCACCAGCATGCACCCTTGCCCCAGCTCCCTGCCGCTACCGCCCCCACCCACGCGCCCCCGCCCATGCGCGCCCAGTGCCCGCCCACCTCCCAGCGCGCGGTTCAGCGCCATGGCGGTGCGCTGCCTGCCCGCCTCCGACAGCGGCAGCATGCCCGCCGCCGCCAGCAGCGGGTCTGCCCTCGCCGCCAGCAGGTAGTAGAGGAGCGCCAGGAACAGCATCAGCTGCATGCCCGCCTTCACCACGCCCACCCCCAGCCGCAGCACGCCCAGGCCCCCCATCAGCGCCGCCGCCGTGGTGGATCCAACAGAGCCGGCAAACAGGCGCCCCGCCACGCGCCCCGCCGCGATCAGCGGGTCCGCCGCCGCCTGCGCCAGGCGCTGGAGACCGCTGAGGTCGGCCACCGCGTCGCCGCTGCGCTGCGCGATGCCGCGCAGGGCGGAGGCGCACAGGCGGGCCACCGCCCGCATGTCGGCCAGACCCTCGCGCAGCTGGCGGCGCCACAGCTTGGCGTACGCGGCCTGCAGGCCCGCGCCCACCTCCCCCGCCAGCCCCGGCAGCAGGCTGCTGCTGTGCCCGCCGCGCCGCTCCTCGCCGCACAGCTGCAGGCGGCTGAGCGCCGCGCGCTGCTCTCGCTCCGCACCGTCCAGCTGCAGGGCGGCTGCCTTGTGCGCCGCCTTGGCGCCTTCCAGCGCCGCATCTGCCGCCACCACCCCCTCCTCCAGCACCAGCACCCGGCCATCCAACGCCACAGCCTCCTCTGGAGCACACCCGCCGCCGCTGCCGCCGGGCCCCGCCTCCTCGCCCGCGGCCGGCGCCGGCGCCCGAGGCACGCACTTGGGCACGGGGCGGGGCGCCGGCTGCTCCCGACCTCGCGCTGCGTCCAGCCCCTGCACAGCCGCACGCAGCCGGGTGCGCGCCTCCCCTAGCTGCAGGCCAGCGCACAGGTGGCGGCAGCGGAGGTGAGAGGTGAGACGCTTCCACCGGGGGCGCAGAGAGGAGCGCCAGGCGACGGCAGCGTGCAGCGCCTGCCCCCAAACACGCAGCAGGGGATCTTTCAGCTCTGGGCCTGCCGCAGCCACCGCCGCGCCGCCACCCCAACCTGCTGCTCCGCTCGGCGCTGGCTGTCGCGCGCCGCCTGCAGCGCCACCTCAGCCCTGGCCAGCGCCACCAGCAGCTTCTCCCGCTCCCGCTCGCTGCACTGCCGCGGCCCCTGCATCGTCTCATACAGCAAACGCATGTCGCTGCGCGGCAGGCGGCGGTGGAGGAGGGCGGCGCGCGGCGGCGGCACGGGCGGCGCGGTGAGGCGGCGGCGCGGTGAGGCTGGCTGCCCGTCTGGCGGGTGGCGCGAGGCCGGCAGGCGCTCGCTGGCTGCCGGTGAGCGGGACAGGCATGCTGGGCTGCCCGGCCCTCACACCCTCACACCAGCAATGATCCTCCCACCAAGCCCGTCGCCCGCTCTGCCCGCTGTGCGCACTGCGCGCGCTGCGCCCGCTGCGCCCGCCCCGCGCGCTCACCCCAGCGCCGACGTCAGGTTCTGCTTCTCTAGAGCCCCGTAGAACTGAGTCTCCGCCCAGCTGGCCACCGCCGGCAGCGACTGCTGCACCAGGGCCAGCGCCTCAGCCTGGTAGGCGGCCACCCAGGAGGGCAGGCCCGCGCCGTCGCCCAGCGCCGCCGCGCCGCCGGCGGCGGCCGCGGCGCCGGGGAGGGCGCCGCCGCCGCCGCCGCGCCTGCCCTCGCCCGCCGCCGCCGCTGCGTCCGCCAGCAGCGGGGTGGAGGCGGCCATGCCGGCCCAGGCCGTGGGGAAGACGTCCCTCACCGCCAGCACCGTGGCGCGCCCCTCCTGTGCCACCCGCACGCTGAGGAAGGCGGCCAGGCCGGTGGTGCCCACAAAGAGGCCCAGGATGAGCAGCAGGGAGACGAGGGCGTGCAGGTTGGCGCGCAGCGCGGAGCGCAGCGCGGCGTCCAGCACGCCCAGCACGCCGGCGCAGGCGGCGCGCGCGCCGCGCCAGCAGCCGCGCCACCACCCCCACCAGCGGTCGGCGGCGGTGAGGGCCGCGCCCGCGGCCTCCTCTCCCGGCGACTCTGGGGTGGGCGGCACCCCCGGGCCACGCCGCCGCTGCCGGGCCTCGGCAAAGGGGCTGAAGCGGGGGCGCTTGGGGGGTGACACGCTCTGCAGGCTGCCGCGCCGCCCCTGCAGCTCTGCTGCGCTCTGCAGGCCAGGCAGGGGAGGGGGCGGGGCAGGGCAGGGGAAGGAAGCGGCATGGTCGGTGGCTTGCAGCCGGGCAGGCAGGCAGATCCGGCTGAGTTGAGCATGATGTGCGGGGCTGTGCAGCATTGGCGTCTACCCCTGGGGAGGCCACCAGCCCTGCATCCACATTCGCCCACCCCACTGGCCTGCGTGGTGGAGGCTGCGGGGGTCTTGGCAGGCGAGAAGACCGCGGCTCCCAGGTACCGGTTGGTGGTGAGCAGCAGCAGCGGCACCACCCCCACCGCCAGCACGGCGGTGAGCACCAGCAGCACCAGCTGCACAGTGGCGCTCCACGAGTCCTGCGGGCAGCAGGCGGGGAGGGAGGGCGGGGGCGAGTGGGTAGGTAGGGGGTGCTGGTGGGCTTGCTGCACAGCTGGCATCCGGGCGCGGCCGGCAAAGCCAGCTGCTCAGCTGCCAACACAGCCGCAGGCCGCCCCAGCGGGCGCCCCGCTCACCCGCACCCACTCCCACACCAGCCAGGCGGCGCAGGTGCGGAAGAGCCAGCGGAACAGCACGCTGCTGCCCTCCGGGGGGCGCTGCCGGAGCAGCTGGCGCTGCTTGCGCCGCTTCTTGCTGGTGCGCCTGCACCGCTCCCGTCCCAGGGGCGACAGCACCAGCCAAGGGCAAGGGACGCACGGTCAGCGATCAACTCCTCAGCCGCTGGCTGGAGGTGGGTGCCCGCCAGTGCAGCATTGCCTGCCTGCCTGCTGCACCGCTGCAAGCAGCCAGCGCCTGCGTAGCACCGTAGGTATGCATCGGCCTGGGTGCCACACCCCGCTCACCGCGACTTGAGCACCTTGACCGCCGCATGACCATACACCGCCAGCGACGGCATCGTGTGCATGGCGGCCGCCGCGGTGGTGCGGGCGGCGGTGGGGGCGGTGGCCGCCGTGCCAGACGCCGCGGCAGCGGCCGCAGCGGCCGCCGTGCGTGGCGTGCGCGGCGAGGTGGGCGTGGTGGCGCCGCCCGCGCCTGCCGCGCCGCCGCCCTCCCCGCCGCCCCGCTTCAGCAGCATGGCCTGCCGCCGCTGGAACTCCTCCTGCACCGCCTGCCGCCACTTGGCCAGTATCGCGCGCGCCTCCTCCCAGGCATCCACCGCCGCCGTGAGGGGCAGTGCGGCCAGCGCGGCCAACGCGCCGCCCACGCTGCGCCGCGGGTCGCCCAGGCTGGCATCCATGTGGGCCACCAGCCAGTCCTTGACGGGGCGCAGCGCGATGGAGCACAGCAGGGCGTACAGCATGCTGTCCCGGAAGTCGGCCAGAACCTGCGGGAACGCAGGTGGGGGGCCACAGAATGAGGAGAGGCCAAGGCGGACGGCGCAGGCCGCCAGCACGGCGCAACGGCGATGCATGGGCATGCATGCTCCCCGAGGCAGCCCCACCGAGTTCAGGTTCCATATGAGCAGGCCGATGGCGACGGTGATGGCATTGCCAGCCAGGTAGAGCGCCAGCTGCAGGCAGCACGTCTGGCGGTGAGCGGGTGCGGCGGCGGCTGGGCAGCAGAGCTGCGCAGGAGCAGGCCGCTGCTGTTCAGGCTGCGCTTCAAATGCAGCTGCTCCTAGCACTATGCACCGTTGCGCTACTTGCCTGCATGTACGGCTGGGCCGTGTTGCTCTGACGCCCAGCCTGCTGGTGGGGCGACGGCGGCAGCAGCCCTACGCCGCCGCTGAGGCTTGCCTCCATGGGGCTGTGCTGACGCGGTGCGCGGTTGGAATGGACTGAGGGCGTTGCTGAGGTGAAGAAAAGCTCAAGGCTGACGTTTCAGCCGAGTTGAAGGCTGCTCCCGCCCACCCATCTCCTGCTGTGCTGACCGCCTGGCAGCCAGCCTCGTAGAATGGCAAGTAGAATGGATCTCGAGCCGGTAATATGACACGCCGGATCGCAGCTGCAACAACCAAAACCCCAGTGCACTGCCGCTGTACAAGGGAGGCTGAATGCCAGAATGGCTGCTATGAGCCCCTACAATGTATTCAATATCGATCAAATACAGCAGCAGCTAGGCCTGAGAGCCCGCACAGCGTGACCTGAAAATGCAGGCAGAGCCTTTGGCCACCACCCTGGCGTCAGTGAGGCGCACCATCACACGAAGATGGCAAGATGACAACGGCAGGTGCTATGCGCCGCCAACGCGACACCTCTGGGCCACCCGCCGCCCCGCCCGTCGACGCTTGCGCGGTCCTGGGAGCACCCGGCTCGCCCTTCCATCTGCCCAGAATCCAGTCGCAGGCCAGAGATAGAAGCAAATCGGTGTTGCTGAGGCAGAGGCTCACTTGCATCTGATCCCCCACTGCACCTGCAGGGCGGTGCAGCGGGTGCAGGATGCGGCCCTGCGCGGCGCAGCGGCAGGCCTGTCGCTGCGCGGCGGCCTGCACCTGGTCAGCTACGTGCTGCACCTCCTGCTGCGGGGCAAGCGGGGGCAGCGTGCGGCGGCAGCAGGCCGCCCCAATGCGCTGGCGATGCTGCGAGACACGGCGCGCTGGGGCGCCTTTCTGGGCTCCTTCTCGGGTGCGTGGCCCTCCAAGCGGGGCTGCACAGATGCATGCACCTTGGCCTCTGGCTGTGGCCTTGGCGGTGCAGGATGTGTGCAGCCCAGGCAACGCAAAAGCTCATCCCACTGGCATTCTGCGGCGCAGGCCTGTTTTGCTTCTGGGATGAGCTGATCGCGCTCCTGGGCGGCAGGCGGCGGACGCGCGGGTGGCGGGCCATGGTGTCAGGCGAGCGAGCGCCGCCACTGCGCCAGCCTGCTTCTCCTGCTGCTCTGCTGCTTCCTCGTGTGCCCACCACGAATTCCTCCAATATCCCAGCACCATCTGCGTGCCCACTCGTCACCTGCCACGGCCCCTGCACGACCCCTTCCGCAGGCACACTGGCCGGGCCGGCGATGCTGCTGACGGGACCCCAGCAGGCGCAGACCTCGCTGGCGCTGTACGTCCTCATCCGCGGCCTCACCCTGCTCGTCCGCTGCGGTAACCTGCCAGAGGCGCACCCGGTCAAGGTGGGGCAGTGGTGGTGTGGTGTGTGTGTGTGAGGGGGGGGGGAGGAGCGGGCGCGCCGGCATTGCATCGCACAGGCAGGCACTGCATCGTGGGCCCGACGCAGGCCCATGCTTCTGTTGAGCCCTGCACCTGACGCTGGACTCCACGCCTGCTGCGTGCAGCGCATGCTGCTGAAGCCCACGCGCTGGCGGCACGGCGACGTGGCGCTCATGTGCCTGTCCACAGCCCAGATTGGCTACAGCTGGATCGCGCTGCCGCGGGTGCGTGTGGCGCTGTGGGAGCGTGGCTGGGCAGTGGGGTGGTCCTCCATCTGCCCTTCGAAGTGCACAGCAAGTAAGCATGTGATCACGCCACCTCATCCGCCCGCTCTGCTGCAGACGCTGCCGCCGTCTTTTGTGCGGTTCCTCGACAAGCACGGAGGCAAGCCGCCCCACGTGTGAGTCCTCACGCCGGCTGCCGGCTTCAGGCTTTCGCAGCGGCCTCCTGCTGGCTCGCCAAAATGGTGGCTGCTTGTGGAGTGGCCCGCATGGCTGTCATGTGGCATCCCAAGCAACCATCTTTGCTTCTTCCCTCTGCAGGTATTCAGCTGTGCGTGAGATGACACGCCGCGCTGCCGCCGGCGCCGCCGCCAGCGCCCCGTTGCTGTCGCTGGCCGGCACCCCCGAGCAGCACTTGGGCGGCCCTGTGCCCTGCGGCTTCCTGCACCCTGGCAAGGGGTGCACACACCACGCAGTCACCTTTTTTCCGGAAGCCTATGCAAGGGCCCTGCCAGTGTACTTTCCAGGTGGGTGGAGGATGGCGGGGGGTGGGGTGGGTTGCGCTGTGGTGGTGAGTTGGCAGGAGGAATCTCGGCACAATCTTCAACCCCCTTTCCCTGCGCCAGCTGAGAGGTTGGCTGGCCTATCTGCGCCCCCGATCTGGCTGCGCCCACGCCTGCAGTGTACGTCATCCCGGCCATTCTGGTGCACCGCAAGCGGCTGCTGCAGCCCGACAAGGCGCCAGAGCTCTGGCGGTGAGCCTTGCTGTTCGCCGCCTCCTGATGCTGTCGCCTGCCTGGTGCTCTGCCTTGCTGCCGCTTGCTGTATTTGCATCGCGAGCAGGCCACTGCACCCATCCAGTGCTTTGCTCGAGTGGTATCGCTTCCCACCGCCCTGCCCCTCCATGCCATGCCCTTCCGTGGCCTTCTGCTGCAGCAAGATGGCGCTGGGCGTGCTGCGCTCCAGCCTGTTTCTCAGCCTCTACTGCACCCTGGCCTGGCGGGGCGCCTGCACCGGGTTCAACGTGGCGGGGCGCACCTCCGGCGCCGTGATTGCCAGCAGCTGCTGGGTGGCGGGGATGGCTGTGCTGGTAGAGAAGCGGTCGCGGCGCATGGAGCTGGCACTGTACTGCTTGTCCCGGGTGAGCCAGACGTGTCCCTCTGGGTGGTGCAGGTGCTGGTGCTGGTGCTGGTGCCTGCACATGCAACCGCACACTCTGCGGCGACACCAGCGAGGCGCCAGCTGGGTCGGCGCCTTCCTGCCCTGCCTCCTGCCCGCAGGCAGCCGAGTCGTTTGCGCTGACGCTGGTGGCGTGGGGCTGGGTGCGCCCCAGCGCCGTGCCCCGCCGCCTCGATGTCCTCATGTTCTCGCTAGCATGCGGCGCCATCCTGCACTGCTACTCAGGTTGGCAGCGCGCCGGCTGGCACGCCTGTTGTGTAGGGTAGCGCCGCTGTGGGGCTGCCATGGCCATCCAACTCTGCTGCACCTCAGTCCCATGCCCTGCCTCCCCTCCACTGTGTGCAGACCACGGCGGGCAGCGGCGCAGCGTCTTCCGCGGCCCGTACCTAAACGTGTTTGATGTGGGTGCCAGCCTCTTGTGGCGGGCATGCGCCCCTGGCTCCTGGCCTCTCTGCGGCTGGCCCTTGGCTGACCTGGGTGCCTGCCGTTGCCTGCACTTTGCCCGCCCGCCACCCGCAGTTCATTCTTGGCAACACGGGGTTCAAGGAAGGCATCAGCCACCAGCCCAGCAACGTGCAGCTGCTGGCGCACAGCCTGGACCGAGCCGCGCGCACCATGCAGCGCAGCTCGCAGAGCCTGTCCAACCTGGCGGGGCTGCTGGCAGGGGGCAACGGCGAAGGCGCCGGAAGCGGCAGGCGCAGCGCGAGCGGCAGCTATGCAGGCCTGGTGCGCGGCGGCAGCGGCGGACAAGGAGGCAGCGGCAACCAGGCCAGCGTGCTGGGCGGCCGCGGTGGCAGCACCGGGCCAGGCAGCAGTGATCAGTCGCCTGCTCTTTCTCCAGAGGCGTGTGGGCTGCCCACGGGGGATGGCCGCGAAGCGAACGCGCCCTGAACCGTGCGCCGCCGTGGAGCCTGCGGACGTCAGGCCGGCGGGTTTTGACCGCCGCCTAGGGGTGAAGCCGCTGCTGCTGGGATGCACAACACGTATTGTGGACGGCCTGGAACACGCATGTAGGGCGCCGAAACCGACAGTTTTGAGTTTTGGCTAGGGTTTAGCTGATCAGCTCTTGGAAGCCAGCCCACAGTGCATCAAAGCCACAAAGCGGAAGGCACCGCGCCACTCTGCATCTCTGGCCTGTGTGGGTGCCGAGCTGCTGCCATGGCGTCCTCCCTGTGCGCCAGGGGGAGGATGGGGTCCCTGCGCTTGGCCTTGGCCCCCTCAGGTCGCTTGAACCAAACTGTCAGGCGCTCTCAGGGCACCCACGGCAGGAAGCAGCAGCAGCCGCGGTGCCAGGCGCCTCCCAATGGAGCAGCAGCAGCCGGGGCTGCATTTCCTGGAGACGAATCTTGGCGCCCCGCCCAGGAGGAAGCCGGGGCTCCCCCTCCCGACACCAGCAGGGAGTGGCAGCCGCTGGAGGATGGCAGCGCAGCAGCAGCGGCCCTCGGCGAGGCCAGCAGCGGCGGCAAGGAGTCGGGCGGCGGCGGCGGCCCGCTGGCGGCGATCAAGTCGGTGCTGATGGCGTATGACCGCGCTGTCAAGGCCAATCCGGTGCTGACCAAGGTGAGGTGGCCGCATGTTGACCGGTTGTGGGGTGTGTGGCATCACCGGTGGAGCATGGTAGAGTCTGACTGTGCCTGCCCGCCTGCTGCTGCTCCGGCTCCGCCTGCTGCTGCCTGCTGCCGCCGTGCCTCTAGCTGACGCTGCTGCTCCCCATGGCGTGCCGCAGGCGCTCACATCGTTCACGGGGTTTGCGGTGGGTGACCGCATCGCGCAGAGCGTCAGCGGCGACCTGTACGACCCATACAGGCAAGCCCCTGGCAGGGCTGGCCGTGGCCTTGGGAGGCAGGGGTCTCCCGGAGCTGCAGCGGCAGCACTATGTGGGGTGCACCCTGCCCCCGCGCGGCACCTCGTGGCGCCATGCAAGCTGCACCGCCGGCTTCTGGCCAGAAGCCGACAGCAGCCGACACTGCCCTGCCCCCTGCCCCGCAGGTGCCTGCGCCTGTCGCTGTACGGCCTGCTGATTGACGGGCCCGTCGGCCACGCCTGGTACAAGCTGCTCGACCGCTTTGTGTACCCCGAGGACCCCACCTGCAACAAGAGCGTGCTCATCAAGACCGCCCTGGACCAGCTGGTCTGGGGGCCCGGCATGACCCTCGTCTTCTTTGGCAAGTGTGGCCGGCGCGCTTGGGGGCAGTTTGGGGGCAGCGAGGGGGGCGCGCGTGCTGCATCTGGGCGCACCCCTGTCGCCAATGGCCTGCGTGCACGCTGCGCCCCTGCCCGCACCCCACAACTCCCCACAACCCACCTTAACCTGGCCCGCTGCATGCCCACCCACTCCACCCCGCCCTGCAGCCTTCCTCAAGACGCTGGAGGGGCACCCCGACCTCATCCTGGCCACCATCCAGCAGCGTTTCTGGCCCACCATGATTGCCAACTACGCCCTCTGGTGAGCCGCCCCGCGCTCCACCCCGACCGCCGCCTGCTGCTGTCGCGGAGGGGCATGTGCGGCCCTTCGCCGGGCGCCCACTCAGCACAGCCAATTGCCACCAAATGCCGCGCTCACGCAGCACCGCCAGTTGCCGGCCCTCCGCTGACCCCGGCCCCCGCCCCCTGCCCCAAAATGTAGGCCGCTGGCGCATTTAGTGAACTTCCGCTTCGTTCCAGGAGATTACCGCATTCTGTTCAACAACGTAGTTGCAATATTTTGGACGACGTACCTGTCCTTCACCTGCGGCCCAGCCTCCCCCGTGGGCGGCTCGGGAGGGGTTGAGGCGGCAGCCGCGGCGGCCAGCGCTTTGCTGAGCACCCTGCCCTGCCACAAGGTGGAGGGAGCGATGGCGATGCCAGGCGTTGCCGAGGCGGTGCGCCACGTGGCGGCGATGGAGAGGATGCTGGGACACTGGGGCACGCAGGTGCGAGGGCAGTGCTCCCGCATGGCGTGTCCCGGCCTGCCCACTTGTCAGTTCCATGCGCTTGGCGCAGTGCTTGCTGATCAGCAGACACATGGGCGGGGGTACGGAGCAGGGTGTGGCAACTGTGCAGCTGGCAGCCAGCAAGTCAGCATGGGTTGGAACCAAGCACTGGCCCCTGCTGTGCCTGGCGTCCTGCATCATCCGCTGCGCCCGCTGCTGCGTGCATGCCCCTGCCCCCTTGGCTGTCTGTTTTTCACTTCGTCCAGGTCATCTCTGCCGCATGCAGAGCCTGCCAAGCGCTGATCTCTTCGTTCAGTATTTGGAGATGAAGGCAAGTTGCACACAAGAGCCTGGCTGGCTGCACAGCTTACCCGTCCCTTGGTCCTGCTGCATGTTCCGTTCTCCTGATCTCAACCCCTTGTCATTTGTGTTGCGCTGGCTCTGGATGCAGACGGAGGTGATGCGGAGCGTGTGCCAACAGCCCATCCGCTTGCCCCCAGCCTGAGGCCGGCCGCCAGCAACCAGCACTCATGGAGATAACTCTCACTCTCGGAACGCTACTATCTCGATCCAAACAAACCCTGCTCTTGTGCAATTTTAATGAACGGTGCAATTTTCTACTGTGCCAACACAATACAGTACCCATTGCTGTTGCTGCTGCTAAACGACTCTAGCTGGGGGCTGCGCATTCATCGGTGCCCCCGGCCCCCTGTGGACTACCCACTCTGCCACTCTGCCGCCACGCCTTCTTCCTTCTCAGTTTCGTTTCCGTGGCTGTAAATTATGTCTCTGTTTCTGTCTGGGCGCTTCTTGTCCCGGCCGCTTTCATGTGTTTCATGCACTGTCCAGCAACCCTGTAATTCAACCACTGCTTCTGCCGGGCCACTCTTCTGCCGCCCCACGCAAGCAGGCATTACAAAAGCAAGCGGGCGCTACAAAAATATCATAACACTATAGAACAAGGATACAAAGTAGGGGAACAAGTGATACAGAGTTCTAGCAAAGGGGGTGGGCAGTGTTGCAGCCAAATGTGGTAACAGTGGCACTAAAGGAAGCGATCAGGGCTATCTCTGGTATCATTATCATTAGCATTGGGGGCACGACATAAAAGACGGGCAAGACTTTGCCGAGGAAGAAATGATTGAATGATTTCAATCAGACGCACCGTCACGAAAGGGAGCGGAGACGCACGGTCACCAAAGGGAGCGGACAGACTGTGCACCAAAGAATGAAAGTGTAGGCTCTCAGGTTGGGTTCACTCATTTGGCAGTGCGAAAAGCAAGACACTTGCTGGCTGATGTCAATAGCAAAGGTTCCGCTAGGCGGCTGGCACATTCAGGAGGAGGGCGTTCCCGACCATGCCATGGGGTCAGAAGGGCAGGCGGGATGGAGCAGAGAGGAGGAGGGCGCATGGGCTGGCGGATGGCGTGCACCCTGGTGGAGAAGCTCAAGCAGCGGCTGGATGCAGCGCCGCCGTGGGCATGCCGCCAGGCAGAACGTTGCCGTACAGGCGCTGCAGGGAGGGAAAGCCCACAGAGACAGCGTCCGCGGGGGCCACACGCCAGCAAGCGGCCGCAGCCCTGCTACTGCTCAGGTCTTGCAGCCAGCTGTCGTGCAGCGCCTCCTGCGCAGCGATGCGCCTGCTGCAGTCGCGTTCCAGCATGCGCCTGACCAGGTCCACAGCGCGTGGCGACACATCGCGCCAGCCGGGCCCAGAGTAGCTGATGGGCGCCTCTGAGACGCGCTGCCAGTACTCGGCCTGGCTGATCTTGCTCCGCGGGTCGCAGAAGGGAAAGGCTGCAGCAGTGAGCAAAGGGTGGAGGTGGGTCAAGGGCAGGCGCCTGGGCAGCATGTCAGGCAGGCAGGGCTGGGACGCCGAGCTCCTTCGCAGAGGGGGGCACCCAGGGAGCCACCCAAGGCTGGCAAAGCCCACCTCCACTGAGCAGGGAGTAGAGCAGGACGCCGGCAGACCAGATGTCGGACTCGATGCCGCCGTAGCCGTGCACGCACTCAGGGGCGGAGAAGAGGGGTGTGCCGGGGGAGTTGCGATTGCTAGGCTGCGGACCGAGCATGGAGCGGCTGCACCCAAAGTCTGCACGACGGAGCGACAATCACGGAGGGGTTAGTTGTTGACAAGCAAAGATATCACAAATTGTACCGAAAGACAGGCCCACCCAGGGCGGCACCAGACGCGCACCTGCCAGGCAGACTTCGGGCAGCCCATTGGCGTCGATGCTTCGCACCAGCAGGTTGGCTGGCTTGACGTCCCGGTACGCCACGCCGTGGCGGTGGCACGTCAGCAGCGCCATCAGCAGCTGCTGCGTGATGTGGGCGGCCTCACGCTCCGACAGCGCCCCACGCCCCGCCAGGTAGTGCGCTAGGTCGGACTGGCACAGCTGCAGCAAGGGGGAGGGAAGGGCAGCAAGACGGGTGAGGCAATGTGTGGCGCGCCACCCAACCCCTGGCGGCTCATGCTCCGCACAGCAGGCGCTGCCAGGCTGCCACGCAGCTGCCAGGTGGGCTGGCGCGCACCTCGCTGATAATGTAATAATGGGAGTCGTCCTGGCGCAGGTCGTGCAGGCGCAGGATGCTGCTGCTGGCGGCGGACAGCACACGCTGTGCCTCGGCCTCGGCCGCCACCACCTGGCTCTGGTGGCAGGGCAAGCGCGAGTGCGTGTACTTGGGCAGCTTTTTGGCGCACAGCACCTCGCCGGTGCGCTTGTCCGTCGCCTGCAGCACAACAGCAAAGCTGCCGCGGCCAATCTGCAGGGGAGGCGGGGCGGGAGCGGCATGGTCAGCGGCGGCATGGTCAGCGGCGGCGGCTTGCGAGGGCGATGTGGCGCGGGACCCGAGCCAGCATGCCTTGGGGGAGACAGGCCCGGTGGGGAGGTTTCATTCACGCTGGCTGGCCAACGAACGACTGATCACCTGCTGGCCGAGAGTGTAGCCCTCGCTGAGCTGCGGCGCGGCCTCCAATGCCTGTGCCGAGGCCGGGAGAGTGCTGGACGACTGCTGAGCGTGGACGAAGCAGCCTCCCTCGGAGCGGGGCGTCCGGTTTGGTGGCCGCCGCCGGTTTGGTGGTCCCGTGGGGGCTATGCGGGATGCGCTGCATATGTGCGTGTGGGTGGCCAGCGGGGGCGCCCTGCACTGGGGGTGGCTCCCCAAAGCAGCCACGGCCATGGCCTTGTTTGACCGGGCACAGGGGTGCTTGAAAACACAGCGTGAAGAGTGCAAGACGATGGAATCAGCGGAAATCGGCGTGAAACTGTAAAGGAATGATGCTCTGATGGCATGCGGTCCAGGCCTCGAGGCCCAGCCAGCTGAGCCTGGCCACCCACTCCCCTTTGTAATCCGGGCACGTGATGCACGCTGCTCTACCCTTTCAACACCACCCAGGAGCACAATGCAGGGGCTCACGTCCAGAGGCGGGGGTGGGCACATGGCGGCGGGGCGGGAGCCATGCATGGCGCCACGACCTGCACCGCCATCCACCTCCAGCCGTGGCAGTGTGAAGGCGGCCTGGCATGTCCTGCTGACTGCCTTCCCACCCGGCAGCACCCTCTCTGGGCTTGATTCTACCGTTACCTTTGCGTGGGTGATGAATGGGTGCATGAGACATTATGAAGGGGCTCTGCCGAGGAAGCGGTGGGCGTCAGCAGCAGCGGGGAAGGCATGGAGATGGTGGGCTGGAGTTGTATTTCGGTTCGAGTGTGCACATGGAAGGAGGGTGGACAGCGAAGAAGAGGGTGGGGCACACTTCCCCACAAAAAAATGGGTGGAAAAGGAACACCAGCACTGCACCGGCAACATGGGGAGAATCATTCCTCCGAGCATCTCGGTTTGGCGGAGCCCGACAGGGCTGTCATGGGTTCGGCGCGGGTGGCTGCTGCTGACGGTTGATGAGACCAGCAAGCCGGCCGTACAGGGAGAGGATGTCCGCTGACAGCGCTGCAGCAGGGGTGCCCACCGGCGCTGCCCCGCCTGGCTGTGCCGCAGAGGTGCCGCCTGCACTTGGCTGCGCCACAAATGCGCTGCCTGGCCGTGCCACCGCCGCGGAACCTGCTTCTGATGCGCGCGCTCCCTCTCCCAGCGCATTGGACAGCAGGTGCTGCATGGACAGCGGAGAGTGCGAGTGGCTGGGATGGGCGGCTGCCTGCTCCGGCTGCAGCGCCTGCTGCCGGTGCTGTGGTGCATGCTGTGGCTGTGGGGCCGCATACAGTGGCTGCAGGGGCAGTGATGGTGCCTGCTGTTGCTGCTGGTCTTGTATCTGCTGCAGCAGAGCTTGCAGCGCTGCAATCGGGGAGCCGTCAGCCACTGCTGGCGCCGTGCCCAGCAGTGTCGAGTGGCTGGGAGGCAAGGGCACTACATGCTGCGCTTTTAAAGCAGGAGCCAGGCGGCCCTGCAGCTGCTGCAGCTGCTGCTGCTGGTGAAGAAAGGAGGAGCTGGCGCCAATGCTGCTGGGCTGGCTAGGCGAGTCCCAGGTGCTGGCAACGGCCCTGGCCGAGTCGAGCGCTGTATCGCCAGCACCTGCATTGAACGAGGGCAGGCCGGGCAGCGGCCCAACTGACGGAGGCCTGGGTGGCAGCGCCACCGCCTGCGCCGGCGGTGCTGGCGCTGCCCAGGCCGCGGCTCCGCCAGCTGCAGCAGCAGCAGCTGTCGCTGCCATGGGAGAGGCCTGGTGCTGGCGGGCCCAGCCCGACGCTGGCTGCGCATCCTGCTTCTCTTGCAGGCTTGCAGGCAATCGGAGGCTGCGCTGCAGGTCACGTCGGGGACCCTGCACGTAACGGCAGCCCAGCAGGACGGGCATTGAGGGGTGGCATGGTGGTGCTGTTGGACACAGCCGGCTGCAGGCAACCTGCAACTGTTCATTGGCTGCCTGCAAGCTACATGAAGTGTGTGGCACAAATAGCAGGCAAGAGTGCCGCCCGCCCCCGCGGCTGAGACAATTCACTCTTAGGTGCCGCTGGCACGCTAACCCTTCCAACCGCTGCACTGGCAGCATGTCATTCGCGGCCCAGTGCGCGCGCACCTGCGGGAAGCGAGCCTGGTAGTCACGCAGCTCAGACTCGTACCGCTCCCTGTCCTGCCGCGCCGCCTCGTTGTACGGCTCCCTGTCCGCTGCCGGCAGCTGCGCCCACATGTCGCCCACTACTTTGCTGATGCCCTGTACCAGTGCAGCAGCAGGGGAGCAGCGCGGGGTTGGGGCACTGGCGGCGTGAAGCCGCAAGAGTCAAACGTGGCGGCGGAGGCGTTTGCGCAGAGCGCCAGCGTACCACGCACCTTCTGGTCGGCGCGCGGGTGCTTCTCCTTGGCTGCGGGCCGCACGGCATCGCTGTAAAAGTTGAAAGCTGTGCGTGGTTTCTTCAGAGGGGCTGCGACGGGGCGCGCTGCTGCCGCCGGGTCGACCAAGGCGGCAGGCGGACAGAGCAGGGCGCCTGCAGGAGGATCCAGCACTAGCATTTTCGGTCAAGTTGGTCAACAGAGGCTCCAGAATTTCGAACCACCAAGAGAATGCGTACTGGGGGGCACGCGCCCGCGCCCCTCGTGGCCAAGGCGCCACAGGGCACCACGGCCCCCCGGCCAAACACTTTTCGCCACTCAACCCTTGCCTGCAAAACCTGAATTTCGGGCACAATTCGAAATCGCAGGCGGAGGAGCCCGATGGCTGCTTTTTGAAGCCAGCTGCTGGTTCAGCTGCTGGTACTCGGCGCCCAGCTGGACGGCTTCCCCACGCCTGCCACCCCTGATCCTGCCTTCCCGCGCTCACCTTTGAAACTGACATCCCCAAGATGAAGCGTGACCCAGTATGCCGAATCACTCACAGACTCCACGATGCCGCTGAGGCATGTGCCCACCAGGCCAGGGTCGGGGGACGGCGCACCGCTGCCGGGAGCAGGGAAGGCGACAAGCGAGAAGGATGCGGCGGGAGGCTGGGCGGGCTGGGATGGTAGATCCCACTTCATGCGTTTGCTAGGCGGCGCCTCGCCCTGGTCACCCAGCCCAGCAGCAGATCTCTCGAGCTCGCCTTCGACGGCGAAGGCCTCAGGCTGCTGCGCTACCGCTGCCTGCCGCCCGGTTATGCCCTCCTGCTGCTGCGGCGCCCTGCCCTGTTCCCGCTCCCGCGGCTCCTCGCCACCGTAGGTTTCGCCCCCAGCGGGTGGTGGGTCTTGAGCGTCCCCCCTCTGGGCGTGCAATTGCTCCATCAACCCTCAGGGGATGACCCGGCCGGGTCGACCGGCTGGGGCTGGGCTGCTTCACAGCAGTTGCTGGATCTGTCAGGAAGGGCCCCAGGGCCTGCTCGGGAGCCCAAGGCGAGTGGGGAGGAGCCACTTGGTTTTGTATGAGCGGCCGCCGCGGCCTCCTCAGCTAGGCAGTAGGCACATGTGCGCTGCGAATCTAGATCCAAAAGGCTGCCGGACTGCCTTTTGATTGCCTCAGCTTCCATGGAAGCCGCGAATTGTAGTGCCTTGCTGCCCAGCCGCATACATCCGTTCGTGTGCTCTGCTCATTTAGTGATCGCTCGTTCAAGCCGCCCACTGGGTTCGTCTGGCAGGTTCGTACGTGTCCTGAGGGGGATTAACCTTCATGTCCTTGCCATTACCCACCCCGTGACGGCGGCACCTTTTTGCTGAAAGTTGCTTCTTAAAATGGTGCGTCTCGTGTAAACAGGATACACGCCGTGTGGGTGCGAGAGGAACCGAGCCCACGGAACCAGGGCAGAGCGGCGGTGCGCCTCGTCAGCCGTCAGGGCCGCTGCCGCTACAACACTTGAATGTCAGTCCTGCGGGGCCCCTACCGCACCTCTAGGCCAAGTGTTAGAGCGAAAAGGGACACGTATGCAGTACTCTGGAGCACAGGCTGCTGTCCCGGGCCCAGCTGGGGCGAAGCCTGGAAGCTGTGCGGCAAGCGCCTTGCCAGGGCGCAAGAGCATGCCAGCGCTGCCGGTCGCCGGCATGGGCACTTCATCACCAGATCTAGGCCCCCAGGCTGATGATGTACTGCAGCAGGGGGGCACAGCAGGATCCCTCCATCAGCACTCCGCATTCATGCAGCCCGGCTGATGCAGCCCGCCATGCCCTCGCTCGTCACACCGCTGAGCATATGGACGTGATGGGGAGGGTGGTTGGCATGGTCGGGGGAGGGCGCAGCGCGGCTTAGCTTGCCGGCACCAGGCCGCCACACCTGCTTGTAGTTGCTCATGAAGCGCGCAAGGAAGGCCTCCAGGTGGAAGATCGCCTTCTGGCCCTCCTGCTTGGCAGCACGGCAGTATCGCGTGCACAGTCACCAGCACAAGTTGGCGGGCAGGCAGAGCTGGGCTGAGCTGATTGACCACAAGAGCGCCAGGCAGCGCCTTCAAGCAGCCAGCAGGCCGCCTGGCACACCGCATGCCACGCCGTCTGGACCAGCCCAGCCCAGCCCAGCCCAGCCCAGCCCAGCACGCCGCCGCACCTGCAGGCGATGCTCATACATGGCGGCATCCTCGGCGGTGCTGTGCCTCAGCTCATCGTCCAGCTTGCGCATCAGCTCCACAGCCAGCCGCCGCAGCACCACCTGCGCAGCATGGCGCGCCAACGCAGCGCACGCAGCCAGCGGCACGGGGTGGGTGCACAGTGGGGGTCGCTGGCTGCCGCACTCGGCACTGCACAAGGAGACCTCCAGCCTCCAGCACACGCTGCGGCCAACGCCACTGTTTGACCACAGCGCCCCCCGCGGCGCCACCTCACCTCTGGCGGTATGCAGTTGGTGAGCAGCTCATACAGCTTGCCGCGCGCCAGGAAGAGCCGCTTGGGCGTCTGCTCCAGCATCACGTCGGCGGCAATCTCCTGCGGCGGGGCGGCGGGGGGCGGGGCTGTGGCAGGTTGTTCGGCACGCAGCGGCACCCGCGGCAGCCACCATCACGCAGCAGGCTGCAGGCGAGCCACACATTCACAGAGAGGCATGCGCACCGCCCCCAGCACCCGCCCACCCACCCTGATGTAGAGCTCCCAGTCGGGGGCCGCCACCTCCTGGTCCTCGGCAAACGGGTACTGCGCCACCTTGCACGCCTCCAGGCTGAGCAGCGCGCGGCGCAGGTTGCGCTCGGATGCCGCCGCCAGCCGCTTGGCCAGCGGCACAGGCAGCGTGAGCCGCTCGTGCGCCGCCACCGCCTGCACCTGCTCCTCCACCTGCGCCAGGCTGGGCGCCGCCACGCGGATGCACAGGCAGCGGCTGCGCACGGGATCTATGACCTGCGGGGCGGGCAGGGAGGCAGGCGGGGGCAGGCAGCGAGGGCAGCACTCGATACGCCTCTGGAAAATGAGCGCTGCCAGGTGCAGCCTGGCTGCAGGCGGTGGGACGCCTCCCCGCCATCCGCTGGGCTGCTGTTCATAGGATCCTGTCCATCATCCTGCGCGAGAGCCCCAGCCCACCCACCCACCCACGGCCCTCCCCCCCCACCTTTGACACGTTGTTGCCGCACAGCACCAGGCGGCATGCGGCCGAGTACTTCTCCATGGTGCGGCGCAGAGAGTGCTGCGCCTCCTTGCTCAGCTGGTCCACCTCGTTCAAAACCAGCACCTGGGGTGCAGCGCAGGCAGGATGCACAGGCGCAGCTCAGCAATGGCAGCGCCAGGTGCGGCGCGGCAGGCGCATGATGTTGAAGCAGGCCGGGCTGTGGCAGCTGGGCGTGGGTCATCGCAGTCGGCGGCAGCCTGGGGCAGGGCAGGGCAGGGCCCCAGCGCAGCACCTTGAAGCTGCGCTGGCCGTCGGTGCCGATGGGGCGGCTCTTGGCCATCTCTTTGATGATTTCCTGCACCACATACCTGCAGATACGCGGCGCGGGAGGCGCACAGACGCTCAGCCAGCGGCGGCAGACGGCAGCAAGACGTCCTCAAAGGAGCGCCATCGCTCCTGCCACTGCACCGCGTGCCTCGCCCCTTGCGAGACCTCACGCCCCCGCACGCGCACCGCCGCCCCCGCACCTGTCCCTGTTCCCCACGTCGCTGGGGTTCATCTCCACATGGTATGCGCTGGAGATGGTTGTGAACTCCAGGTCGATGCTGCTGCTGGGCAGCTTGATCTTCCACGGCTTGCACTCCACCTTGAGCTGCAGGCAGCAGGGGGCACACAGCACCACAGCGCTCCCAGTGGACGCCACGCCGCGCCACACAGGTCAGCCCGGGCAGCCGTACAGGAGGGGCAGGCTGGCTGGCAGGCAGGCGAGCACCAGTTGACCCGCCGGCGCTCGACACTGGCCCACGAGGAGGAGGCGCCTTGCCCACACACGCACACACCTTCTCCACGCCGGGCCCATAGATCTCCCGCAGCAGCGCCAGGATCAGCGTCTTCTTGCCGGCGCCAGGGGGGCCATAGAAGAGGGTGTGCGGGCAGTCGCCATTCACCACCTGTGGCGGGTTCGGGCGGGCCAGGGGCCTGCTTGGACGGCCGAAGCGGCAACTTGCCGTGGCGGCAAAGGGCATCAGCGCCGCGGCATCTAGATGGCCTCACCAGTTTTCTGAGATTGTCCGCCACATCGCTGTGCAGCTGGAACTGCTCCAGCGCCTTGGGCCGATACTGCGCGGAGCAGGCAGCCGCGGGGCGGGGTGGCGGGGCAAGCCTGGGGGTTGGCCCTGCACGCTTTCTGCAGACCCCGGGCGCCTCACCTTGTCTACATAAAGCATCGCTGCCTACCGCCGGACAGCCTCCAGCCTCCTGTTCACCCCCTCTGCTTGGTCAGAATCGTCAGTCGCCCCAGAGCCCAGGCTGCTGTCCAATATAGTGCCGGCCTATATGCAGTCAGCTAAAGACTGTGGTTGGGCTCCGTGCGCATTCCAGTTCAAGCCGGCCAGGGTGAGGTGGCGCGCGCCAGATGCCACAGCGTGGCCGTTGCACATGCCCTTGTTGCTCGATCTTGGTCACCAACTCCACATATACAGCAATATAGCCCGATTGCGGCTCCTACACACACGCAACCTCGCATCTCTACGGTTGGCCCATCTCTGAGGCTGCACCCGCGCCCTAGGACGCCTCCAGCAGTCATGCAGCTGATTCAGGGACTCCTACTGCTGCTTCTGGCGGCGTCGCAGGCTGCAGGTGTGCCTGCAGTCCGCATGACATGCGAGGGGGGGATGGCGGTGGTTGGCGCCGCCGCCCAACCACCTCCCACGCCGCCGCAGCCAGCTCCTCCCTTCCCCCCTGTCTCTTGCCAGCATCCCCTGCGACCAACATTTGTGATGCGCCATTGCATGCCGTCTGGTGGATAGTTGACCGCCGGTAGCTCTTCCAACCCCCGCCGCCCCGCGTGCTTGTGCGCAGCCTACCCTTGCACCCCCGCCGATCTGGCGTCGTGCCCCAAGCCGCCCGGCGCGCTGCCCGCCGCCGACCAGGCGCCGCAGTTCATCACCATCACCTGGGACGATGCCGTCAACCCGCTGAGCTACGACATCATCCAGCAAATCACGGGCGGCTTCACCCAGAGGAACGGCTGCCCCGTGCCCTCCACCTACTTCATCTCCGCCCTCAACACCATCCCCGCAGCGGTACAGGCGCTGTACCTGAGCGGCAACGAGATTGCCACCCACACCATGACACACGTCGGCTACCCGCCCGCCGACGAGATTGTGGGCTGCCGTGACTGGCTGGTCAACGCCACCGGCATCCCCGAGACAAAGATCACCGGCTTCAGGCATGCCTGGGCGGGGCGGTGTGGGCCTGGGCGGGGCGGTGTGGGCACACTGCCAGCTGCACGGAAGGGCTTGGGGCGCGCTGCAGACCGCTGCCGGTGCCGGGTACCATCCCGCAACCCCGCTGCCATACATGCATGCCGTGCGCTGCACCCTCCCCTCCTCCCGCCGCAGGGCGCCCTTCCTGCTCAGCAACTCTGACACGCGGCAGGCTCTGGTGGATGCCGGCTTCCAGTATGACTCAACCCTGCCAGACACCACGCCAAGGTGGGCGGGCAGGCAGGGCGGAGTGGGGGCCGGGCGCCGTCCAGCCGGCCAGCCATCCGCTGGAGGAGCTGCCCATCGAGCCGCCCTGCCCAGCTGCCTTGCCCTGTTGTCTTGCCCTGCAGCAACATCAGCCCCGATGTGGACCAGCGTGGCTGGCCGTACCGCATGGATGACGGCATGCCGCAGGCGTGCACTGTTGGTGGGTGTGGCGGGGCTGGTGGGCAGGCATGTGGGGCCGAGCACGTGCACGGTCTGCGACAAGGGAGGGTGCGGAGCAGAGGAAGGCTGGTGTGGCACTGCCAGCGCGCCGGCCGCAGATGCCAGATGCAGTTCAGAGGGTCATGTGCTTGCTGTTCACGCTGCTGCGTGGGCGGCCGCCCTGCGTGTGCGCAGGCGCCTGCGACTCCAGCGAGAGGTATGCGCTGTGGGAGATCCCGCTGTGGAGCGTTGAGGATGCCAGCAAGAACTCGATTGCCAGCATGGACCCCGATGGCAACGCGTACGACAACTACAAGCGCGAGCTGGAGTGGCGCCTGGCAGGCAACCGCGCCCCCCTGGGCCTCTTCTTCCACGCAGGCGAGGCTGCGCCGCTTGGGCCGCTCTACCTGCCCAGCAGTTGCTGCCAGCCGGCTGCTGCGCGCTGGCGCCATCTCCCAAGAACCCTGCCCACCATCTCCTTCCCACCTGGGCCCGCGGGCGCCAGTGCCAGCCCTGCGTGCCACCTCAGCCCTGCTGCGCCGTGAGGCCTGGGGAAGTCGCTGACCTCCTTCCCCTGGGTACCGCCGTGCTGCAGGCCTGCAATCCCAGGCCAGCCGCATCGCCGAGCTGCGTCAGTTTATTGAGTATGCCATGGGCCTGGACAACGTGTGGTTTGTCACCAACCAGCAGGTGAAGTAAAGGGGCTGGGCAGGCGGTGGGAGTGGCGAGGTGGCGGGAGCCCCGCCCGCATCGCTCACGCGTATTCGGCGCCGCCCCCGCTGCCGCGCTTCCCCGCAGATGCTGGCATGGATGAAGAACCCGGTGCCTGCCAGCCGCGTGGAGCTGATGCTCAAGTGTGACAAGCCCACCGACATCTCGCCCACCGTGGGCCCCGCGTGCGACACCTATGTGGGCAACTGTCAGTTTGGGTCGTTCGACGTGACCAAGTGCAGATGCGTGTGCATGGGCGAGGGCGCACCTGGCGGCTACTGCGTGGATGAGGCGACGGGGTCGTGCACCAAGACCTGCTGAGGCAGGCGGCACAGCCAGGCAGCCAGGCGCGGGCAGGCGGCTGCCCTTCGGACCACGTCGCCGCCACCCCCGCCGCAGCGCGCCTGGCTGAACCGACGTGATTGATGCACCCACCAAGCTGAGAAGGCTTTGCTGACTATTTCCTCTGCCCGTTTAATTATGCTCGCTCCTTAGCAGCTGCTCTTGTGAGGATGAGAGCGAGCCGTGCTGCCTCTTCTGATTATCCCCTTGCACACCACCGGTGTCTCTCCCACCGCCCTTTCCTGCCTCTTCTAATAAGTTGTACCTCTGAAGCATTGCATATGTGATCACGCTCACAGCGACGCAACACGAGTTGAGCCGACCTTACCTGTCCATAGTCTGCGATGCAAGAGGCAGCGCGGCTCGCACCGGGCTGAAAGATGCACCGCACTTCCTCCGCCCGCCAACCGCCGTGCGCCCGTTCTGCTACTGCCAGCCAGGCCAACGGGGGTTGATTCCCTGCGGGATGAGGAGGGTAGCCGCGGCCATGAGGCTGTGTGCTCCCCGCAGGCCTTTCAAGCGCAGACGGATGGGCCGTACGGCGCACGAAAGAAACGAGGCGGCGGCCCAGTTGGGCGGCTGTCGCGGGCCGAGGAGGGCGCGCAGCGGGCTGCCCCGCTGGAGAGCGGTTGCAGGGCATTCCTGCATCGCTGTGACGCCGCAATGAGCCTGAGATGCTGCCTGGATTTGTTTTTTCATGTTCCTGCAAGGGCCGGGGTCATTCCCGCCGCCCCAAGAGGGGGGCGCCAGCCAGGCCCTCCCTCCATTTTGTTCTGGGGTTGTAGGGGGGTTTGCGGGCATGAGGGTCAACTCCATCTTCCTAGGCCTCCCTGAGGAGCTGCTGGTGGAGGTTTTGGGGCGTCTGTCGGCGCGAGACCTTGCATCGGCCCTCAGCTCCTGCCGCGGCCTGGGGGCCCTGCGGGAGCAGGCCTGGCGCGCAGCTTGCTTTGGACGGTGGCCAGAGTGGTCTGCGATTGCCGCCGAGCCCGCAGCGCAGTGGAGGAGGCAGTATGAGTTGCTGTCCCTGCGGGAGGCGGAGAGCGGCTGCCTGCCCACTGTGGCCACTGTGCGCAAGGTGCAACGCAACGTGACGGAGAGGCACCGCAGCATCCTCACGGAGTGGCTGTGCGAGGTGAGCTATTTTGCTCCCGCTGCATGATCGCCATCGCCAACGTTCTCATCACTCCAACCCCGCTCCCCGCAGGTTTCCTTCGATTGGGAGCTTGATTCTACCATTGTTTTCAAAGCTGTGGCGTACCTGGACCACTACTTGAGCGAGCACGCCGTGGAGCAGCTCTCCAGGTGCATGGCCGGGGGCGCGGGAAACGTTTAAAGATGTGATCCCTGCCCGGGCACCCCTCCCCACCCCCCCTTGGCACTCACACACACCGCCTGGGCCGGACCCACAGGTTCCAGCTGCTGGGGCTGGCCTGCCTCCGGGCAGCCATGGGGGACGCCCGGAAGCCAACGGCGCTCGACGACCAGGACAAGAAGCTGGACCCCCAGAACTTTGCCTACATCAGCGACGACACATACACGGTGGAGGAGGTGGAGGCGCAGACGCAGGTGGGCGCCGCCTCGAGTGGCGGCGGCGCGGCGTTGGCCGCCTGCGCCGCGTGGCTGCGTCCTGCTGCTGTGGGCAGCGTTATTGGGAGCAGGCATGCCAGCGCGTGGGGTACAGCCGCTGATGCTGCACGCCATCGAGCCCTGCTGCAGGTGATCGTGGGGCTGGTGCCGGAGCGCCTCAAAAAGGCGCCCAACACCAAGATGTTCCTGCGCAGCTTTTGGTACCGTGCCACGCTCAAGGAGGTGGTGCTGGCCGATGAAATGCACATCTACACGCTTGCCAGGTGGGTGTGACTGGGGCAGGGGGAGGCAGCCTGGGGCAGGATGCGGTTGTCGCCCGCCGCCGCGCTTTGTCACGATGTCACATGTGCCCTGTTGTTCTGCCCCGACGCCAGCACACGTCTTGGCCTGGCTGCTGACGGGCACCCGCCATCTCCTGCGCGCCTGCCTGCTCCGTCTGCAGCTTCCTGCTGCAGCTGGGCCTGCTGGACCTCGACTGCTCCGGCTATGCGCCCTCCCTGATGGCCGCCGCCGCACTCAGCGTCAGCCTGGGCGTGTTTGGCAAGCCCGAGTGGCCGCTGTCACTGCAGCAGTTTGGCTCCTACCTGGAGACAGACCTGGTGCCCGTCAAGGCGCGCCTGACCGAGATGCAGGCCTCGCAGGTGGGCGGCGCAGGGGGTGCCCTGCGGTGGGGACGCACGGGAAGGGGAGCCGCTGTGGCGGCCTCCTGGCGGGCTTCTGGCGTGGCCCGGAGCTTGCCTGGTTTTGCGGCGCCTGCCGGCTGCCTGACCAGGCAGCCTGCCTTGCCCGGTGCCGGCCCGCCTGCAGGCTGCGGAGCAGCTGCGGCCCCTGTGGCGCGGCATGCACGAGCAGCACTCCTACCCCGAGTATGAGGCTGAGTGGAAGCACGCGGTGCTCATCTTCTCCTGCGCCTCCCGCCTGGCCCGCATGCCGCCGCCAGAGGCGCGCCCCGCTGCCGCCGCCGCCCCCAGCCGCGATCCCAGCACCGGCAGCGCGTCAGTCGCCATCGGCAGCGACTCGCCGCTGCCGCCGCAGCCGGTGGATGCCACGGCCATGCTCATTGACTGAGCTCTGCCGCGCCGTGCAGCTAGTTGGCCGCCCAGCCCCCGCGCACCGCGCTGGGGCAGCCGCCTTTGTTCCATGCTCCCCCATGGCCCATGCCCCCGATACGCCAAGCTATTTTGCTCGTGCCCGAGTTTACCTGTTACCCTAGCTAGCTACGGTCCCCTCTGCCTGTATGCTGCCCCGGCTCTATATTGCCAGCAGCGAGCCCAAAACCGCTTGTGCACTGATGTCCCTCTCCCGTCCTCTCCTGCCTTGCCCGCCCCGCCCACATGCTCACCGTGGTGGGCCCTGGCAAGGCCGTCCGCCCCTTACTGTAGCTCCTCTCCGTTCCCCGTGGCTGTTCCAGTGCAGCCCTCCCGCTCACGTCGTGTCCTACTGCCACAACGCCCCCGCTTGCACTCCCTTCGCCTAACGTTTTCGTGCCAGCAGGCTTCCCCCTGCGCCGCGGAAAAGACTCATCTTGCTTCCACAAACTGAAAATCGTTTTTTCAAAACAACCCCTACCAGCATGTTCCCTTACACTGACGTCACTTCCTTCCCTCCTCCCCCTTTTCTGAACAGGCAGGAATTCTCAAATGCAGGCCAGCCAGCCAGGCCAAAAACCAAAAAAACAACCCATTTCTGTAGCGTAGGCGCCGCAGGATTTCTCTGCGCAGGCACGCTTTCACAGCCATTTGATCTCCCAGCCTCACCCTGTTCACACTTGACTTTTCCCGCCTCACTTGACCCTGTCCCTTCCCGCCTCATGTCGATCGGGGCCTCCAACGCCTTGACTCCTTGACACGTGACAACGACATGACACACAGTGACGCCTCACTTTAACAGTGCATCAGCCGACACAGGAAAATAGGGAAGAGAGAACGAGATGCGGTCACAATGAAGCAGGGCGTCCCAGCTCCAGCACGAATGGCTTGCTGCGGGACCTCACTTCTTCTTCCGCCGCTTCCTGCCGCCCTCGTCACGCTTGCGCAGCGGCTGCTTGGGGTCTGGGGGTGGCGGCTTGTCCCCGGGCTTGGGTCGACCCTGCGGGGTTTTGCCGCCACCAGGCTGCTGCTTCCACGGCTTGCCGCGTTGCTGCTGCTGCTTCCATGGTTTGCCGCCTTCCTGCTGCTGCTTCCACAGCTTGCTGCCATCTTGCTGCTGCTTCCACGGCTTGCTGCCATGCTTCTGGAGGCTCTTCTGCTGCCACAGCTTGCTGCCATGTTGGCGCTGCTGCTGCAGCCCCTGCCCCCTATTGTCCAACCCCGCCGCATTGGCAACCTTGGCCTCCTCCTCCACCTCCTCCTCCTCTTCCTCCTCGCTGCTGCTCGCATCATCGTCGCTGCTGTCCTCCTCATCCTCAGATGGCTCAACCTGCTGCGCCTTGCGCTTGCCTGACGCAGCCCCCAGCCGCTTGCTAGCAGCTGCAGGCGCTGCCCCCCTGGCTGCGGCAGGCGCCCCGCCAGCAGGCGCCGCACCCTGTCGCTGACTGGCCTCCATTTCTTCCTCTTCAGCATCCTCGCTGCCCAGAAAGAAGTCATCCTGCTCGTCATCCGACTGCGCAGGTGCCTGCTGCTCGTGCTGCTCAGCCAGACCTGCGCCACCCGCCCGAGCAGCACCCTTGGCGAGCGCCGCACCCTCATCCGCATCTGCCAGCATGGCAGCCTCTGCCAGCTGGCGCTTCACCAGCGCACGCAGCCGTGCACGCTCCGCCTCCAAATTCTCCTGCACCAGGGCCGGCCGCGGCGCACAGTTGCCACCACAGCGCAGAGCCAGGGACGAGTAGCTAGGCCGCAGCCCAGCCAATCCTGTCATCGCCTCATGCACGCGTGACCAGCACCCGCAGCCGCTGTCCCTGCTGCGCCCGCCCAGCACCGCAGCCGCACATAGCTGCCCACCCACCTGCGCTGCGGGGTCGTCTGCCTGGCGCAGCAGCGAGACATACTTCTCTCCCTTGGGGAAGTGCAGCACATACAGCAGGTCCTCCTGCACTGCTGCCACCTGCTGCTGCACCTGCGCCAGCGCAGTCTCGCCGCCGGCGCTGGCGCCCGCCTCACCACCCTCTGCCCCACGCGCTGCCGCCAGCTGCGCCTGCAGGCGATGCAGCCGCCGCTCCAGCTTGACACGCTCAAAGAAGCGGATCTGCAGAGGGGCATGTGGGGCCAGGTAGGCTCAGCGGCCAAGCTTTGAGGTATGCTGCAAGCTGCTCTTGCCTGCTGCAGGCCTGAAGCAATGTTGGGGCCTGAAGCAGCAGGGCACAGGGAGGCAGGCGGGGCCTCGCCTTGTGGTAGCGCACTGCATACTTGCGCTCCAGCTCCTTGCGCTGCTGCTCCGCCTGCGCCGCTCGCAGCTCCTGAAGCTTGGCCTCCTGCCGCTCCCGCATCTTGGGGTCCAGGTCGGGCTGCGCGCAGAGCAGCCAGGCAGGCAGGCAGGTGGACTGCCGCCGACAGCGGTGGAGCCAGCCGCCGGGCGGCAGGTGGCGCAGCGGCGGAAAGCACAGCAATGAAGATGCGCGCTGGACGCTGCTCAAATCGACTCTCGTTGCCTCCCAGGCGGCACTGGTGGCCCGGTAACTACAAAGGGCAGCAGCGAGGAGGCATGCAGGCCATGCGTCTCGACTGACCCGCTTTAGCAGTCGCTCCACGTCTCTGATCTGCTTGCTGGCGCTCTTTGGAGGCTTCGCCACTTTCCCATTCTTGCCATTCCGGCTTGGCGCAAACTTCTTGCCGCCTGCTCGCTGCTTCATAGCGCTCTGCGCAACGGCATGCGCTCCTTGAGCCAGTACAAAGGTAAGCAAAGTGCAGCGCCGAGTCGGAGGGCACCGCCTCCCCTCTTCCTGCCGCCGCCGCCCCAGCATGCACGCTGTGCTGCCGCCATTTGCCCACCAGGCAACACGTGCACTCGCTCTTGCCCACCCCAACCTATTGCAGCCAACAGGCTCTTTACAAAAACTTGCTGATCCAAAGCCCCACCCGCTGATCGACGTCAGGACCGCGCCGCCTCCTGCCACCGTGCAGCACCTGATTCCCCGACGGGTGGACAGACCCCCACCCCACCCCGCCGCCGGGGCTCAGAAGAAGCGCAGCTCCGCCATGCACTCGCGGCGTTTGGGCGAGAACCAGATGGCCAGGCGCGCCGCGCCCTCGGTGCTGGGCAGCACGCAGTCGCAGCCGTACACAGTCTCCAGCAGGCTGGGGCGCACGCTGAGCGCCGTCTGCAGCACGCCTTTGAGCGTGCTGCGCTCGCCCTCGCTGGCGGGCACAGAGGTGGGGTCCAAGGCAAAGCGGGCGTCCACGCGGGCACGCACCTGCGGGGAGGGCGGGGCAGAGCAGGGCGGGGCGGGCGGGAGGAGGGAGGGTCAGCATTGTGCCCCCGGCCAGCCGCAGAGATGGGCGCCCCCTGCTCGCAAGAAGCCTCGAGGCACCCCCCGCAGCTTCAGGCTGGCGGCCAGCCCCGCAGGCCTCGCCCCGCCCCACTCACCGGGCCGTACACCTGCTGCGCCAGGCTGAGGCTGAGGGCGTGCCAGGCGCCGCGCCCCTCCAGCGCAAACGCGCGGTGCTTGTCCGGGCGGCGGCTGCTGTCTGCGGCGAGAGTGGCGGGGTCGGGCACCACCCCCCACCACGTGGGGCGACGTCAGCGCCATATCCACGCGGGCGGAGGCGGCGGTGAAGTCCAGCCAGGGCCGCGTGAAGCGCCCCAGCTGGCCAGACACGGCGGCGGACGCAAACACGCGCAGCGCGGTGGCCCTGCACACCGCGGCGCGGCAGCGAGCGCACAGTCGTCCTTGGTTCTGGTGGTGTGTATGTGCTGAGGCAGCGCAGCGGGTCCACAGCGGCCGAGCATGGGCTGGGCTGGGCGGCAGGCAGGCCCCACCCAAGGCACCGGCCAGCCAGCCATCCCGGCTCGGCTCAGCCTCTCACTTGAAGTACGGCTGCCACGCCTCTGCCAGCTGCGAGGAGTAGGAGGCTCGGGACAGCAGGCTGGAGGTGGAGGCGTGGGGGGTGTGCAGGCCGCCGCCGCCGCCGCCGCCGCCGCTGCTGCCGTCCAGAGGCTCCAGCGAGGCGTGCGGGAAGCTGAAGGCGCGCAGCGGTGGCAGCGGCATGCGCGCCAGGCACCCCAGCGCGGCATTCAGCTTCAGGTGGGGCTGCAGCAGGGGCGCCGGCGGGGGTGGCGGCGGTGAGGCGAGGCAAGAGGGCGCGCCAACGTGGCGTCGGCGTGGCAAATGCTGCGCTTCTGCCTCTGGGCACGAGTGCCAGAGGCCTGCCCGCAGCCCCGCCCTTCCGGCCCACCCACGCCTCCGCCCACCCCGCCGGCCAGCCCACCTGCGCCAGCAGCATGCTGTACGGGCGCCGCCGCTGGGGCGTGCCGCGGCTGTCCGCCAGCTGCTGGCTCAGCCGCTGCAGCGAGCCGTCCTGCACGTTGCCCGTCAGCCGCTCCACAGACTCCCTGACCTGCTGCAGCAGCGCCACGCTCTCCTGGATGGTGGCGGTGATGGTGTGAGAGGAGAGGCCAAGCAGGGGGCCCGGGGCGGGGATGCCGCCCCGGCCGCCGCTGCCGGCGCCGCCGCGTGCGCCGCCTCCAGAGGCATCACCTGCCTGCCGCGGCTGCTGCTCCAGCTGCTCCTGATGGCTGCCGCCCTCGGGCTGCGGGTGCTGCTTGGGGTGTGTGACATTGTGCAGCATGTCGCTGACCTGCTCGCCCAGCTGCTCCAGCGGGCGAATGAAGTCCTTCAGCCGGGCGCCGGGCAGCCCCTGGTGCGCCGCTCCCGCGCCAGCATCCTGCGCCGCGGCATCGCCCGCGGCGGCTTGAGCTGGCGAGCCCGCCGCCGCCGCTGCTGCCTGCTGCTGCTCCCCGCCGACGCCTGCCGAAGCCTCGCCAGCGTCAGGCCCCGCCGCTGCGAGCGCCGGTTCAGCCGGCTGGCTGGGATCGGCGCTGCCCTGCTGGCCCTCTCCCCTCTTCACCCTGTCTCCGTTTTGCTTGCGCAGCAGCACAGCGTCCTCATCAGCCGCTCTCTCCAGGGCGCTGGCCAGCTTGGTGCGGCGCGGCTCCTCCCTGCCGGCCTCCTCGTCGCCGCCGCCCTTGCCCAGCTGCTTGAACGCACCGTCTGCAGCCGCCGCCGAGCTGGCGCCGCTGGCCGGGCTCGTGCTGCCGCCGGTGCTATTGCCTCCGTTGCCGCTGCCGGCTGCTTTCCAAACGTAGGCCTCCCCCTCCACCGCCACGGCGCCCTGGGCGTGCAGGCTGGTGCGCCAGCGCTGCGCCGCGCCGGGCTTGGGCGGCACCTCGGTGAGTGGGGCGGTGACCTGCAAGGTTGCGTGGGCACACAGGGTGGTGGGCAACAGTGGGCATCTGGTGGGTGGGTCCACTCAGCACCTGTGCAGCAGGCCGAGTCATCCAGCATCCCCCTGCCACGTTTACATCCCGCCCCGCCTCCCTCCAGCCCCTCCCCAGTCACCCAGTCGCCCAGGTGCCCACCCACCCACCTGGTGCAGGCCCACCCTGTACTGCAGCCCGTCCTGGCGGTCGTGCGAGGCCAGGTACAGGCTGACCGCCAGCGGCACGTGGCTCACATCCCCCGTGCTGTCCACATACTGCAGGTTGTACCCCGCAGTCGCCGCCAGGTCGTGGCCGGGCAGCACGCAGCGCAGCGTGGCGTGCGCATGGCACGGCTCCAGCTCCGGCACGCCGCAGCGGGCAGCGGGTGTGCCGGGGCCGGGGCCGTCGCCCGAGTGCTCGGCAGCCAGCTCAGCGCCAGCGCCGGCGCCGGCGCCTGCGCCGACATGCAGCCCATCCGCCTCTGCCGCGGCCCCAGGCGCCGCCGCCGCCGCGGCGGCCCGCGCGGCTCGGCGCTCGCTCAGGCGCCGCGTCACCCGCTGGCGCAGCTTGTGTGCGTCGGGCGCCTCCACCACGCTGTCCAGCACCAGGCGGCGGCCCAGCTGGAAGCGGCTGCGGGAGCACAGCGCGTAGTTGCCCAGATCGCGCACGGCATCCACCTACGCGGGCGCCGCAGAGGGATGGGGGTGGTGCGGGGCGGGATGGGGAGCGGGGGCATGCAGACTGGGGCGAGGGGCATGGCCAGGCCAGGCACGGTGGAGTGGCGGGCGTGCTTGCACGTCCCGCGCCCGCGCCCAGCCCCACCTTGCCGACTTGCTCGCTGGCGGCGAGGCTGTACGCGCGCTGCGCCTTGATGCGCCCGCTCAGCGCGGTCCACCAGCGCCGCCCGCCCGCCTTGGCCAGCACTCGGTCCAGCACCTGCGGGAGCGGGCACGGGGGGCCAGCTGCCGCTGGTGGAGAGGAGAGGGACAAAGACAGAAGGCAGCGGGCCAGCGGGCCCTGACAAGCATCCTGCTGGCGGGTGGTCCCATGCTTGCCAGCCCGCCATGCCCGCAGCGGCTGCCTGCACCCCACCGCGCTCACCAGCCCGTCGCTGCTGCCGTCGTACGAAGGGAAGAGCGGCACCCGCACCGCCTGCGCGGCCAGCAGCTGCTGCGTGCGCGACAGGCCCGAGGAGCCGGTGAGGTTGAGGGCGGGGGGCTCGCAGGGCAGGGACCACAGCTGGCCGTCCAGCGACTTGGTGGAGTGCACCGGCTGCTCCCAGAACTGGGAGGCGATGGAGGCCTTGACGTCCTGCCGGCTGCGCCGCGACTCGGGCACCAGCGGCATGGCAGCGGCGGCAGTGCTGGCGCTGGCTGCGCCTGCCTGGCCTGCTGCGCGCTGGCACGAAGTGCGGCCTTCGCTGGCTGGCAACCTGCGAGGCGTGCGCATGAGGAGCAGCACATGGCACGAGGCGAGCAGATAGCAGGCAGGTCGGCAAAGTCGGCGGGCAGGCGGTGGCGGCAGGCACTAGCGTGCCGGGCGCGGCGTGGCAGGACACCCTATGAAGGCTCACCCTTTCCCTTGGCTCTACAATGAGGATGCTTCGCTCCTGAAACGGCTGGAAGAGCCGGCTGGAGGAGGGCGGCAGCACGATTAGAGAGTGAGCGGCGTTATTCGATGGCCTTTTTTCAGCGGATCGGCGCATCAACAGGAACATGCATCGCCGAAAGTAGCGCTGGCCTTACCTGGTGATGTCGGGCTGAAGAAAGGAAAAGGGCTCCCTAAACTCTCCCAAAACACCCTGAAGGGATCGGGTCGGCAACAGTAGGAGTATGGGGGCTTATGCGCCAATCTGTAGTGCCGCCCCGCGGCGCCGCCAAGCGGCACCGCTCGCCGCCTGCCGCAGCACGGGGGCCTTCCTCTTTTAGGACTTGTACGAGCAATGCCTGCTCTCCTGCGTTGCACTATGGACGAGCTGGACTCTTTAGATCCCTGTAGGAGACATAATGGCAGAGAAAGAGCAGGAGGAAAGGTGGCGGACTTTAGGGTGGAAAGCCACCCATCAGCCAAACTTTTGGTGCTCTTCTCTTTGCTTTCTAGTCATCACTCAAGCATGGCGGACGTGCCGAGTGCTGGGGCTTTTGGTAAGCCTTGGGGAACCTGCCACATCTGCACCAGCAGTGTCGAGAGCACGTCCAAGGCTGGTTGCAGAGCACCGCTGCCATTGTCGTTTCATCCTACCCCCTACTGCAGTGCCCGCCAGCGGCGCGCCGCCAGTGGCCGGTTTGGAGCACCCACCCAGCCGTCCTCCGGGTACCGGCGCCAGTTCTGCCCTCGGCTTAGAGCGCACAAGTGCAGCAGAGGTCAGTAGCGCTGCTGCTGGCAATGCTCCTCAATCTGTATTATTCCTCTGGTCCAGCGCTGCTCCCGCCCCCCGCAGGCGGTTGGCGCCGAGGGGGTGGCAAAGGCATCCACCGTGACACTGTCTCCCGCTGGGCCCGGCGAGCCGCCTCACATCTCCGTGCCAGGCAAGGCTGTGTAGCCTGAGGCACACCTGATCTGCGCAGCCTGACTTCCCCTGGTTTGTCGGCTGGCAGGTGGCGGGCCCGAAGCCAGCAGGGATTCCTCCAAGGTCTCCAAGCTTGTGCACGCCGTCAAGGAGATCACGCCTGGCACCAAGGTGCTTGCTGTGAGTCGCAGCTGTGCCCGCTCCCAGTGCCCCGCACCGACTGCCCCACCTTTGCGTTCTGCAGGAGCACCGTGAGCACTACGGCACCAATGTGGCACTTGGCGGCTATCGTTCCCAGAATTGAGCATGCCGGCACGGCAGGGAGCGCCTGGGCTGCACAGTCCGCCTGATCCTTCACCCAACTCAAATGCAATATAGTTTAGCAGCCATGCATGCACGATGCGTTAACAGCGTGGGTTTCAAGGGGGAAGGTTGCGGCGGCGCCCGCCACGTCAGATTAGCGACACTCCTCCCGCCTCCAGCCACCATCACGCAGCTGTGAGTATCGTTGGTCACAATGCCTCGATTCAATCGGGTGAGGGGTCGCGGGAATGAACACTGGTGCAGAAGGGCTGCCAAATACAATCGCGGCGGGCCCCCCGCTGCCGCTGCCGCTAGTGTACAGTGCAGTGGCTGTCGCCTGTCGCCGCCCTCCCTCAAGCCGCCGCCAGCGCGATGCTGGGCGCCTCGCTGTCGGCGCCAGCCAGCTGCCACACGTTGATGGAGGCATAGTCCACCAGGCACTGCCGGATCTGCTCGGGCTGCAGGGCGGCACACGGGGGGAGCAGCATGGTGGAGCCACTGCTCGTCAGGGGTTGCCAAGCTGTGGTGGCGGTGGGGCATTTAGGCGGTGGCAAGCAGAATGGGGAGGCTATGTGTGCCGGCCTGGGCAGCGGCACCCGCCAGCGAGGAGGGGGCCTGGCGGGTGCCCCAGTGCGGGCGCAACAAGTTGCGCGCCGCGCTGCGCTGCGGGCCCGGCACAGAGTGCTCTAGGCGCCCCAAAATCCCAGCAGGCAGCTC